TGTTCTGGCTGTGTTTTCTGTTGCTAATATTTAGTTGTCTCTAAACTTGGTTGTGTGAGGAAGCACGGCATCTCCAGCTATGCCTCCATCTTGGCGGAAGTCTCGAAAAAGAGTTAATTTTATGTTGCATAAATCTCTCAGTTTTAAAAAGGTGCATTGGGTCTAAAATGTTCTTTATGATTCAGTGTATTTTTTGGTATATCAACTAAAGATTGATGTGTATGAGAAAGCGCACAATGTATATAACTCTGAGTTTTCTGTTTAACCAGCTGATAGGTGTTTCATTTTATTTTTAGTATCAGAATTAATAGAAGTTAAGTTAGGGGGTAAGAGGGAAAATATACATCATTAAAAGTAAAAAATAGCCCTGGCTGGTGTGGCTCAGTGGATTGAGCACCAGCCTATGAACCGAAAGGTTGCTGGTTTGATACCTGGTCAGGGCATGTGCCGGGTTGTGGGCCAGGTCCCAGGGTGGGGCGTACAAGAAGCGACCAACTGATGCTTTTCTGGCACAATGATGTTTCTCTCTCTCTCTGCCTCATTAAATTTTTTTTTAAAGTAAATAAACAAAAAGGGAAGGGCAAAAATACAGAAAACAAACCCACCCATAATTCTTCCTCAACAGGCAGTCACCATGGACATTTTGTTCATACTCACCCAGACTACCTTCTAAAAACATACAAACATGTATAGCTATGATAGTGTAACATTTTTTTATGTATGCTTTGTAAACGCTTTTCATGGTAAGAAACACCTGTGTTCCTTGTTTTTGTGTGTGCGTTTCATAAAAGGTTGTATCATAATTATTTTAACCAAACAATTAGAAACAGCATCTGGGACAATCTGTCTCACTCGAATGTACAGCTTCCTGCTCTTTGACATAGATTTTGTTAATTACTCTGAATGAGTATTAATAAATGTCCTATATTTTCTATTGCTTTCTCCTCTGCCCCACACTGCCCAGGCGCAAAATATTAACAATCTCATATGTACAACCCTAACTTTCTCCATTCTCATGAGGTCGCATACGAGCACATATGGAGGGGGACCCAAAAACCCCAGAATTATCTTCTGGAGAGCAAGCCCCTTGTAGTTCAGTCTTCCCCCACTAGGTGAGTATTCTAGGAACCCATCTGTATCAGTGCACCAGCTGGCGTTGTTGTGAGAGGCTGCGTTCGACTTCAGTGAACTTTTTTTTAAGACTCTTTCAGCACATTTTTTCCATTTCGTCATGGGTGATTCATGAGCGCACCTGTCTACACCCCACTGAGTGCTCAGCAGTTTTTGACCAAAAGCGTCATGACACCTGTGCCCCACACTCCTTACTCATCCAATCTAGCCCTGAATGACTTTATTTTTTGTTTCCCCAGATTAAAAAAAAAAGTCCTCAAAGGGAAACATTTGGCCGATGTGGAAGAAGTGAAACAAAAAAATGGCAGAAGCACTAAAAGGCATCAACATCGATGAGTTCAAGAACTGTTCCGAGCAGTGGGAAAAAATGTCCCGACAGGTGTATCACATCAAAAGAAGAGTACTTGGAAGGTGACTGAAGTTTAAACACATAAGAATAGACACACAAGCCCTGGCTGGTGTAGCTCAGTGGATTGAGCTCGGGCCTGCGAACCAGACAATTGCAGTTCGATTCCCAGTCAGGGCACATGCCTGGGTTGCAGGCCGGTTCCCTGCAGGCCAGTTCCCAGCAGGGGATGCGCAAAGGGCAACCATACATTGATGTTTCTCCTTCCCTTCCCCTCTAAAGATAAATAAATAAATAAAAGAATAGACACACAATTTTTTATAAATAAATTGCGGGGTATTTTGAGGTCCCCCCTCAGATAGACATATACAAGGAAGAGCCAACTTGTTTAAAAACAGGACCTGCATCGTGTGGGTCTCACATTGCACTTTCCCAAGTGTCTGCATGTTCTGTCTGCCCCTCCAAGTTCTCCCTCCACCCCACTCTGTGCCCCAGACGCCTTTGCCCCCTCAGCCAGCCAGAGACTCAGGCGGCGGGAGAGAGGAGGGAGAAATGGGCCAGCCGCGTGGCCCAGCTCCTTCTCTGCCAGGTGACGTTTGGACTGCTGTGTCCCTCTGCTGAAGGCCACACTCCTGCTGGGTTTCGGAACCTCTCTACGTTCTTAAACTGTAGGTTTGAGGGTGGATCTGGCCCCTGCTGTTGCCAGTTCCAGGCGGTTTAATCATCCCTTATTTGCTCCCTTGAGCTTGCCCGTGACTCTGTAAATGCCCCTTTCGTTAGACACCCCTCAAATATCCTTCTGAGTGTGCCCGCTGATTTGTGGTGGGGCCTGAACTGATTCAGTAACTAATTTAAACTTCTAAAACATTCTCAGTGAGCCAGCTCCCACAAGCCTGCCACCAACGTGGGCCTCGAGGTCCAGCCCCTTGGTTTGCAGATGCAGGAATGAAGGGTGCTTGACTTGCCAGTTTTCCCCGCTACAAGGCCAGAGAGGAGGGGACGTAAGGAGTTTGCTGAGCCCTGGAAACAGGCAGTATGAACTATGACCGACTTGGGGTAGCTCTAGCTTCCTGGTTCTGTCTCCCAGTTCCAGGTATCTTGGCTCACCTGGTGTTCTTCAATGGAAATGAGCAAGATACAAATGTTTGGAAGGGGTAAATAATTTACATTCTCCAAATCTTGGCGACTTTCTAAAACAGGCTTTGCTGGTTCTCTGTGGCCCCTGCAGGTGAGATGAACCAGAACAACTGGAATGGGGAGAGAGCAAACATTATTCTCTTAGCTCCTTCCCTTAGAGTCAGGTTAAACACCAACTGGTCAGATTTTGAAGACAAGCCTCAGCCAGCATCCTGTGATGGGTAAACACACAGTTAAACATTCATTTACAATACCTGGTAAAAAGTACAGCAAGGAGCTCAGTTTTGGGGGGGCGGGTTGGAGAAATCATTCCTAGGGCAGGTAATGTTTGAGCTGGATCTCGACAGAGGAGCCCAAATCAGCCTGTCCTGAGATGGCATCCTGAGATGGCATCCTAGAGAAGGCATGAGCAGGTGCCAAGACCCTGTACTAAGACAGGCAAAGCCATACGTGTGCCAGAAAATACGTGTGCCAGAAACTGCTGGAAGCTCAGTGTGGCTGGAACCTAGGCTGTGTGTGTGTGTGTGTGTGTGTTGAGGGCTGTGTTTGGGTGGGTGCAGAAGGTGAGCAGGGATCCAAAGGGTCTGGAAAGATGGAAGGCATCAAACCCTTCTAACCTGCAGGGTGATGGCATCACTCTTTGGGGGGAGGCGTCATTCTGGCTGCTGTGGGGAGGACGGATGAAAGGGGCAGCCTAGAAGCTGAGGTCTGAAGAAGTATGGGGGTGGGATGGAAGTAAAGGTGGGGGCAGGCGATGGATGGCTTCGAGAGCTACAAAGGCTAGAGAAGGGGCAGGATCTAGGTAGGTGTGTTATAACAACAGCAGCATTGACAATAACAACCTGATATGGTGACTTAAACAATAGCTTTGGTTTCAGACTGCAGAGGTGAGACTCTTCTCCCTGCCCTGTTTATCGGGGAAAATTTCAAACCTCAGAAGAGTTGCAACATAGTTTCCGTGAATATCTGTGTAGCCTTCACCTAAGATTTACCTGTTGTTATACATTGCCTCCCACCCCTCTCCCCCCTGCCTCCCTACTCTGTTTCTCTTTACATATGTGTGTGTGTGTGTATAGCTGTTTTTCCTAAACCTCTTGCAAATTTGTTGCAGAAATTATGGCATCACACCTCTAAATACTTTAGCATTCATCCCCTTTGAGTAAGGAGATGCTCTTCTGTGATCATAATACCATTGTCTTGCTTAGGGAATTGCCCACCGATGCACTGCCGTCTAGTAGAAAGACCCTGGTCATTTCCTCCCATTGTCTCAAGAACATCCTCTATAACTTTCACTTATTTCTTTATTTTCAGAGGAGCTCACATCGCATTTCATCTTGGCGTCTCTTTAGTCTTCTTTCACGCAGGGGCTTGCCTGGCACTGGCAATTTCACAACGCTGACCTTTCCGCAGAGTTCCAGGCCAGCTGTTTTGACGAATGTCCTGCAGTTAGGATTTGCCTGTTTGTTTGCCATGATTGGGTTCAGGAAAAACATGTTTGAATACTCCATGAGTGACGGCATGTCCTCTTTCAGTGCGCAGTAGGAGGGGGCACGTGTGGAAAGCCTCAGTGTCATCCTCTGGCTTTTAGCTGGGTTGGAATTTGGGCTGCTTGTTTGCTAGTTGGGCAAGTCTGTCATCGAGATGATTTTCTCAGCTGTCGAAGAGGGAAATACTAGTCCTGGTTTGACGAGGTGGTTTATGTGTGAGGCACTTAAAAACAGGGTCTGATGCATTGTCACTATTAGATAAATTATTAGGATTACTATTACTGTGACCATCCATACTATTTTGACTACAATTTATAGAGACCTTAATATGTGACAGGAACTCAGTTCTTTACCGCTCCAGCACCCAGGACGGTGTAAGGCACAAAGGAGGCATTCAGTACACATTTGTTGGTGAAATGTCAGCTCTCTGCGGATTTCTGCGGATATTGAACCAATATACAGATCAGCAAAGTGAAGCTAGAGAAGCCATTTGCCCAAGATCACTATATTGCAGTAAGTGGCAAGAGCCCTCGACTTGAACCCAAGCTTATAGGGTCTGTAAAAAAAAACTAGGGATAGGAATAGAGATGTATTTTTAAACACTCCAAGCGCTGTGTAGATGGGAAGATTGGAGCGCCATGCACCGAGCTCTCGCACATACATACAGTAGGCGCTCAATAAATGTTAGTTGAATGAAGGAGGACAGAAAATGAGTCAGCCAGGGAATGAAATGAGTCAGCTAGGGAATGAGTCAGGTAGAAAATGAGTCAGCTAGTCAACCTACCCTGGCCCGCTGTACTGGGGAATCATTCGGCTCCTAACCGAGCCACTCTACAAGATTACATCTTTCAGCAGGGTGTGGCTTCTGGAGGCCCCGCCCACCCAGCGAAAACACGCCTCTCGCTCCTATCCGCGCTCACGGACCGCACGGGTGTTTTGGCCCGCGGGCGGAGCCGTAGCTACAGTGTCCTGCGGGGTCCGTAACCCGGAAATTCAGAGTCCAGAATTCCCTGCTGAGGTCCGAGATGTCGGAGAAGGGAGCCGGGGCGAGCGGGGGCTCCCCGCAGGCCAGCTCGGTGACTGTCAGTGACGTCCAGGAGCTGATAAGGCGCAAGGAGGAAATTGAAGCGCAGATCAAAGCCAACTATGACGTGCTGGAGAGCGTGAGTGTGGGCTCCGGGGCTCCCAGCCAGCGCGGGAGGCGCCCCAAGGCCTCGGGACCTGGGTAGAGTGGGAGGACCGGGCGGCCTCCGCGGGAGGTCTCAGCTGCAGGTCTGTGCCTCCCTACGCTCCCAGGGCGCCGCACCTGTGGCCTTTGTCTGCAGCAGTCAGTGAGACAAATAACTTGAAGAACTAAGAACAGTATTGGTATTGTAGCAAGCGTTCAGGGAGCCCACACTGTGCTGGGCGCTGTTTCACGTGCTTTGCATTAGTGAGCTCATTTAAGCCTCGGGGCAGCCCTTGGAGAGGAGTTCTTTTATTTCCCCATTTTAGGGATGAGTACCTGCGGTCACAGAGCTAAAAAGTTTGCCGAGGCCCGGTAATTGGTAATCATCATCATCAGTCGTTGTTGAACGTTTATAGAATGTTCTATGCTTTGCTAACCACTCTACGTTCGAACTTCTTAAACTTTAATATATATGTTAAAATTCAGATTCTTGTGGGGGCCGCCAGTGCTGGGGGGTCCCAATTTTGGAAATCAGGGTCTTAACGTAGGATTGAGTCAGGAATGCCGGTCAGCTCGGTCGTTTTGGAAAGGCAGGGAAGCCAACACAGGTATGTGGCCCCTGGCGCATTTATGCCGTGTCTATAGAGAGTCCCATCTTAAGGGACCTTAGGGGACCCCCTTCCTCCCACAGGAAACAACTGGTATAACCCAGAGGCTTCCAGAGAGAAAGGGAGAGAAGCGGATGGAATCCTGGCATATAAGTGGAATTACCTGTGTGCACTGGGCACTGTCTCCACGCCGACTAGTAATTACGGCCATCGCTATCACTATGTGTATTAAGTTCCTAGGGCCGCCGTAACACATGACCACAGACTGGGCAGCTTAAAACAAGAGAAAGCTGTTGTCCCAACAGCTGTGGAGGCAGAAGTTAAGTCTGCAATCAAGAGGAAGACAGGCTGCGGACCAAAGGATCTCAGTTCCATTCCCAGTCAGGGCATATGCCTGGGTTGCAGGCCAGTTCCCAGCAGGGGACGCAGGAGAGGCAACCATACGTTGATATTTCTCTCCCTCTCTCCTTCCGTTCTCCTCTAAAGATAAATTTAAAAAAATAAAATAAGAGGAAGACAGGGTTGGTTCCTTCCTGGCTCCGAAGGAGAATCTGTTCCATGCTGCTCTCCTAGTTCTGGTGGCTGCCCTGTGTCTTCACATGGCCTTCTCTCTGTGTCCCAAATGTCCCTCTCGTTTCTCTTATGAGGATACCTATCATTGGATTTAGGACCCACTGTAAATCCAGGAGGATCTCAGAGACCCTTAACTTAATTACATCTGCAAAGATCCCTTTTTGCAGAAAGTTCACATTCTCAGGTTCTGGGGGCATAGGGTTTGGCCGTATCTTTTGAGGGCCACTGTTCACCCCACTTTACGTGTTCTTGGCACTGTGCTAAGCACTGTACACAGGTCTACCTGTTAATTCTCACAGTAGGTGGGAAGGGAGTGAGCACCATTATTTCCCTTTTGTAATTGACAGAGCTGAGACTTAAAGAGGTGAAGGTTTTAGCCAAGGGCACCCAGATTGTATGGGGCAGAACTGAGCTCATATCAAAGGCTAATGGAAGGCAAAATCCCTGCCCTGTACCACCCTCAGTGTAGAACACACCTCATTTTTCTTGTACACCAGGCCCTAACTTCTGTAGGAAAAGACTTGAAAGCGTTAAAAAAAGGTCTCGTTTCAAATAGAGAACACACTTCCAAGGTCAGAATTCGAAGTCTCCTAAAGGGTATGCAGTGAGACGCCTGTCCGCCTCCCTCCCCCCGACCCCCAGCCCCCCAGTTCCTCTTCCTTGGAGGCAGCCGGTGATATCAGCTCGTCCTTCCAGGGAGGAAACCCTCTTTGAAAGCCCTTTTAGATCTTTTTTTATATTTAGCAGAACCAAAGTGCTGCCACAGCTGGGTGCTTTTAAGGATTGTGACTCCCCTGTAGCTTTGAAGGCCATGGGCCAGGTGTCAGCTGCCTATAGGAAGGAGGGTTTGGAGGAGTCGGAACAGCCTGGCCTTGGGGTTCACGCTGAAAGGAGTCATTAGTTCTTTCCGCCCCGTCCAGGGAACTCAGCAGAGGGTGTGGGTGAAACACCTGCCTTGCACCCAGTAGTCCACAGATGGCAGCTTTCATTATTGTGGCCTTTACTGGGACTGCGGAGGGAAAGAGTCAGGGGAAGGGATCTTCAGGGCTTCAGACGCAAGCAGCATTTTTAAAATCCATGTGTCTTCCTTCCAGCAAAAAGGTGTTGGGATGCACGAGCCACTGGTGGACTGTGAAGGCTACCCCCGCTCGGACGTGGACGTGTACCAAGTTCGAACCGCCAGGCACAACATCGTCTGTGAGTGACCCTCGGCGGGGCCCACCCGACCTCGCAGAAGGGGGTGGTAGAGCACACGAGTGAAATCACCAGTATTCTGTGTTTTCTGCTTCTCTTCTGCCTTGACAAGATCATCACCCTGTGTCCGTGGAGGGACTGAGTAATCCCGGATGGGTTAAACGCACGGTTCTGTGTTTGTAGTTTCATTTTGTTTTTAAGACTTTTATTTCACTGTGGAAACTTTATTGAAATAACAGTAGCGGCCCAAGTCAGGTACTGCTCACAACGCTACTGGAATCATTTCTGCGTGAGGAATTATGTCGAGCAGTTACTGATAGCGACCAAGGAACAGAGGATGAGCAGAGGTTGTGTAGGGGGTTAGTTTTCTGCTTCCGATCTGACTAATCACAGGCCTAGTGCCCTAAAACGTCACAAACCTGTCACATTGACAGTCCTGGAGGCAAGGTGTCCAGAGTTGCCCCGGTGAGCCAAGATCCCCGTGTCAGGCAGGGCCACGTCCCTTCTGGGGGCCCTGGGGAGAGCCCATTTCCTTGTCTTTTCCAGTATCTCAGGGCTGCCCACACTCCTTGTTTCGTGGCCCCTTCCGTCTTCAGAGTCAAGAACCACATCCCTCCACCTCCAGTTCTGCCACATTCACTCTCGCCTCCCTCTTTCACTTACACAGACCCTGTCATTGCATTGGGCCCACCCCCTGGATCATCCAGGACACGCTCCAACTCAGGGCCGTAAACCGATCGCATCTGCAGAGTCCCTTTTGCACATAAAGCAGTGTGGTCACAGGTGCCGGGGATTAGGGCATGGAACTCTCTGCAGGGCCATTATTCACCCTGCTTCAGCTGGGCAACCCGGACTCTGCCACCAAGTCCTGTTAGTGGGAACTATTACCCACATTTTTCGTTCACTGACTCCTGTTACCTTATGAGTCATGACCACCTGGGCGTGTTTTGGGATAAGCCAAGCATGTATATAGGAAGTGCTGGTTCAATGCTCAGTGAATGAATGTGGGAGTCTCAAGTCCTCGGCTGTGGTCCTTGGCCCTGACCCGGTGTCCCCCTCCCAGGCTTGCAGAACGATCACAAGGCGGTGATGAAGCAGGTGGAGGAGGCCCTGCACCAGCTCCACGCTCGGGACAAGGAGAAGCAGGCCCGCGACATGGCCGAGGCCCACCAGGAGGCCATGAGCCGCAGCCTGAGCCAGAGCGAGGGCCTCAGCCCCGCTCAGGCCTTTGCCAAAGTGAACAGCATCAGCCCCGGCTCCCCTGCCAGCACTGCAGTAAGCCAGGGCTCAGCCACCCGAACCTGTCCCCAGTGGGCACTGTGGGTCAGGTGGCCTCGGGGGGCGGGGAGGGGTGGGGAGGCCTGTGGGAAGAGAGGCCTACGCTTTTGCCACACCTCGGCGTGGCTTCACTCATCCAGCAAACACTGGCCGAGGCTTGCTGCCCACTAAACTGGCCAAGGAGGGACTTGGGACAGACACAAGGTAGAAGGTGGCAGATGCCCTGAGAAAGGGACAGAGACTCTGCTCCCGGGGCCCATTGTGGCCGGCCACTGACTCACAGACCCAAGAACAGTGCCAGCTGCCATTCGCCGGGCCCTCGCTGTGTGCCAGGTGTCCTGCCAGATGAGCCGCGTCCCGCCGGTGTGTTTCGAAACATTTGAGAGCTTTATTGTGCTATTTCACATACCGTGAAAAGCACACAATCTTGTGGCTTTCGGTGGATTCACAGGGCTGTGCGTCCATTTTAGAGCATTTTCATCATCCTGAAAAAGAAACTCCCCCAGTCCCCCTCTCCCCGGGCCCCTGGCAGCCACCAGTCTGCTCCTGTCTCTGTGGATTGGCCTGTCATGGATACGTGACACACTGAGTCATGCAGCGCGTGGTCTTTTGTGACTGGCCCCTCCCTCTCAGCGTCTTGTTCTCAGGCCCACCCGTGTCGGAGCGTGTATCTGTTCCACATCCCTTTTCATGGCACATCGACATTCCATTGTACAGATGGTTCACATTTTACCATTTTTCAATGGGCATTCTGGCTTCTATTTATGTATTATGAACGATGCCACCGTGAATATCACGTACAGGTCTTTATGGAGGTCATGTGCAGGTTTTACGTGCGCTTGTGTATGGTATCTAAGCCCACAGCCACCTTCTGAGGCAGGTACTAACCTTATGACCCCATTTGACCCATGAGGAAAAGCCTCCAAGACCTGAAGTGACTGGTGCCAGGACCCCCAGCTCCTGAGAGACGGCACGGGGCCCAGACTCTGTGGCCCAGACTCCGAGTCCCGCCAGTCCTCATTGCAATCACGAGACAGCAAGTTGCACATGAGCTCTGTTTAATTCACCACTCTGTCTGCAGCATGCAGCCTGACCTGTGGTTGGCTGGGGCAGATATGTGTCGGAGGGATCAGTGAATCACCATCTGTGTGCTCAGAATGAAAGGGTTGCACTGGTCCTGCATCGGCCTTGTGTCTGTGGCTGCTTATTTGAGGGCATCCGGGGCAAGCTTGTCTGAATTCTGACCCCGGAACAAGATAGGCCCAGACTGGCCTGCGTCTCTTTGCCCCCAAACCTGGGTCAGGACCCCAGAGAGCTGCACTGGGCTTCCCCCCACGTATCTCAAGGCCTCTATAGCCGCCGGCTTTTATCAGACATTGGGCAGACCTGGCCACCTGCTACTCGATCTGTCCTAAGTCCCTGAGCTCTTTGCCTCGGGCCTGCCATTGTCCCCTGGAGGGAACAAGCTCTTGCCCTTGTCATTGGCTCTTGCCCTAAACTGGGTGTACGGAGGGGTGAAGAACTCCAGAAGCACGATTAACCTCCAGCCTGGTTTTCCATTTCCCTTCTTTCTTTAGGGTCTGCAAGTGGATGATGAGATCGTGGAATTTGGCTCCGTAAACTCCCAAAACTTCCAGTCGCTACAGAACATTGGCAGCGTCGTGCAGCACAGTGAGGGGGTGAGTTGGGGGTCTCGTGATGCTCGGTCAGCGACCCTGGAACTGCCGAGGCCGGAGAACGTTGCTGGGCCTTGGCCGCCTCCAGAGTGCTGTCACTCGGGCACAGCCCCACCCGGGGCCTTCGCGTGGGCTGCTCCCTCTGCCCGGAATGCTTTCCCCCCCTTGATCCCTTGTGTCCCTCATCTCACCCCCTCACCGCCCTCATCTTGTATGAGTGACACCTCAGCGAGGCCTTTCCTGCCACCCCATCTACAGTATTTGCAGTGTTCTCCGACTTCTGTCCCAGTTTTCATTTAACGGTGTCCCCAAGAGATTTTTTCACTTGGCACATAGCTCGTTCTTTTTTTTCTTAATTATAAAAAAAAAAATGTTTGTTAATTTTAGAGAGGAAGGGAGAGAGAGGGAGAGATATTGATGTGAGAGAGAAACATCGATTAGTTCCTCCCGTACGTGCCCTGACTGGGGAGTGAACCTTCATCCGAGGTTCTGTGCCCTGACCTGGAATCGAACCCCCTGCCTTATGGTGAACAGGACGGTGCACCAATGAACTGAGCCACACCAGCCAGAGCGACCTTGCTTTTTCTTACCGCTGCCTAGTCCTGCACCGTAGGAGGGCGGCGTGTCCACTGACTGCCTTCCCCGTGAACATCGGCGTTTCCAGTTGTACGCCCGTGTGCACAGCCAAGGGCACTTGTTCACAAGTGTGCACGCGGGGACTCTTCAGGTAGACGCCAGGAAGTCGTGAGAGGCTGTCGGCGTATGCGCACGTGCGGGCTTCACTAATCTGCACCCTCAGTGTCTCATGTCACTTAATTAAGACTCCGTGTCACCTGTTGATCTACTATTTTTAATAACAGGGCATCGTATTTTGTATTTTCCTGATTACCTGTGAGGGTATCTTTTATACGTTCATGAATGTTCATATTTTTATCTCTATGAATTGTCTGTTCATATTTTTCCCCATTTTTTTCTGTTGGGTTATTTGTCCTTTTAAATAACTGATTTGTAGGAATTCTTTATATCTTCCAGATATCAAACCTTGCCTCTTTATGTGTTGTGTTCGTCTCTTGGTTGGCTCCTTGTCTTTCACCTTTGTTCACGGAGACTCTGATTACTCGAAAGATTGTTTTTGTTTTTTTTTTTTTTACGATTTTACTTATTTATTTTTAGACAGAGGGGAAGGGAGGGAGAAAGACAGGGAGAGAAACATCAGTGTGTAGTTGCCTCTTGCGCTCCCCACACTGGGGAGTCTGGCCTGCAACCCAGGCCTGTGCCCTGACTGGGAATCGAACCAGTGACCCTCTGCTTCGCAGTCCGATGCTCAGTCCACTGAGCCACACCAGCCAGGGCTTGGAAAGTTTTTTACAAAGTTCACTAGATACCCGTTCTGTTGGAGTTACTCAGACTCCAGGAAGGGGTGACAAAGACTTGGCAGGTGCACTCACCCCACGGCCGCCACACAGGCTCGGCTCCTGCCTGTCCAGCTTCTTGGGGCCTTCAATGTCAAGGCCACCGCTCACCTTTCCCGTCTCCTCCTTACCGTACTTACGTGTCCTTGAGGTGCTGTCCCTCGGCGACCCCTGAACCGCGCCGTCATCGCTCTAGTGAGGTTCCTGGAGGTGGCGCAGCTGTAGGCTCTCCTCCGAGTCCAGTCCCCTCCTCCAGAGGTGGCCGCTGCCCAGCCGTGTGTCCTTTCGGGGCGCAGTCTGCCCACGTGCCGTCATACAGAGCAGGGTTGTTTCCAGTAAGGCGCGCGGCACCCGCAGCAGAACTCCCTTCTCAGTGCACGGTGCTGTGAGTTCCGATGAACTGCCGCTGTAGTGAGACACGGAGCAGCTCCGTCACCCCTCAGACGGCCTCGTGCCTTCCAGTGGGCGCCCTCTGCCCGGCCCCACCTGGCCCAGCCTCGGCCTGCACGCCTTCCCTTCCTCACCGCCTTTTCCAGAGCCGTGTGCGTGGGACCGCGCAGAGTGCGGGGCCTTTCAGGCCCGGCTCCTGTCACTCCACGTCGTGCAGCAGGCTGTCCCCAGGTCCGTCCCTCTTCCTGGCCGTGTGATGCTCCACTGTGTGGGTGACCCCAGGTCGTCTACCCGTCTGCCTCCGGGGGACCCCTAGGTTGTGTCTGATCTGTCTCTTCTAGTGAAAATTAGTCTTAGGCTCTTTACAAGTTTTAACTCCTTTTTTTAAATGTGGTGTCATGGACATAGAACATTAGATTAGTTTCAGGACTCGATATTTATATGTATTTCAAGCTGCTCACCAAAGTTTAAGTCCAGTTAACATCCATCGCTACATGTCGTTAGTTTTTTTCTTGTGGTTAGAACTTCTAAGCAGCTTTCAAATAGGCCAAACAGTATTATTCCGTACGGACTGTGCAGATTGGTGACCACGAGTAAAATTGCTATAGAAATCCTTCTTTACAAAAGTAGTTTTTGAATATATGTTTATATAAATATACATACATATACATACACATACATATATACGTGTGTGTACACACAATTTTTTAGCAACAGAGCCTTTTCTTTTTTAATTTTTTTATTGATTATGCTGTTACAGTTGTTCTATTCCCCCCCTTCATTCCCCTCCACCCTACCCCCCCCGTCCCCACCATTACCCCCCCTTTAGTTTATGACCATGTGTCTCAAATTCATTCTTTCTTTCTTTCTTTCTTTCTTTCTTTCTTTCTTTCTTTATTTATTTTTTTATTTATTTATTTATTTATTTTTAGAGAGAGGAGAAGGGAAGGAGAAAGAGTGGGAGAGAAACATCAATGTGTGGTTGCCTCTCTTGAGTCCCCTGCTGGGAACTGGCCTGCAACCCAGGCATGTGCCCTGACTGGGAATCGAACCTCGATACTCTGGTTCGCAGGCCCGCGCTCAATTCAAGTTCTTTAGATTCTCTATTTCCCATCCTATTCTTGCCCCCCCCATCTATTTTCTATCTACTGTCTATGCTACTTATTTTCTGTACCTTCTCCCCCCTTCTCCTCCTCCCACTCCCCTGTTGCTAACCCTCCTTGAGATCTTCATTTCTATGTTTCCACTCCTGATCTAGCTGTCCTTTTAGTTTGCTTTTGTTTTAGGTGTGGTTGTTCATAACTGTGAGTTTGCTGTCCTTTCACTGTTCATGTTTCTTTAACTTCTTTTTCTTAGATAAGTCCCTTTAACATTTCATATAATAAGGGCTTGGTGATGATGAACTCCTTGAATTTGATCTTATCTGAGAAGCACTTTATCTGTCCTTCCATTCTAAATGAAAGTTTTGCTGGATAGAGCAATCTTGGTTGTTTTGTAGGTCTTTGGATTTCATGACTTGGAATACCTCTTTCCAGCCCCTTCTTGCCTGTAAGGTCTCTTTTGAGAAATCTGCTGACAGTCTGATGGGGACTCCTTTGTAGGTGACTGTCCCCTTAGCTCTTGCTGCTTCTAGGATTCTCTCCTTCATTTTAATCTTGGCTAATGTAATGATGATGTGCCTTGGTGTGTTCCTTCTTGGGTCCAAGTTCTTTGGGACTCTCTGAGCTTCCTGGATTTCCTGGAAGTCTATTTCCTTTGCCAGATTGGGGAAATTCTCCTTTATTATTTGTTCAAATAAGTTTTCCACTGGTGGCTGTGCCTTTCCCCCTTCTGGTACCCCTATAATTCGGATGTTGGAGCGTTTAAAGATGTCCTGGAGGTTCCTAAGCTTCTCCTCATTTTTTTTGAATTCTTGCTTCTTGACTCTTTTCTGTTTGGCCATTATTTGCTTTCTTCTGGTCCACTCCATTGATTTGAGTCCCAGTTTCCTTTTCATCGCTATTGGTGTCCTGTGCAATTCCATTCATTTCAATTAGTTTTGCCTTCATATATTTGTCTAATTTTTGGCTATAATCAACCAGTTCTGTGAGGATCCTGATCACCAGTGTTTTAAACTGTGCGTCTGAGAGTTTTGGTATTTCTTCATCGCTTAGATTTATAGGCTCTGGGGCTTTGAGATCTTCTTGAGCCATTTTTGGTCTGTTCTGGCCCTTTAAGTGTGAGAAGCGGAGCCTTGGACTCCCAGGTCACTGGGTTGTGACTCTGTATGTGGGGGCGTGGTCAGAGCGGGGAAATGGCGGCACCCTCTGCTGTTTCGTGCGGCTAGGTGAGGAGCAGAGCCTTAGGTGGTTCACCAGGGCGGGGCCACTCACAGTCACTGGGTTATGACGCTGTATGTGGAGGTGGGGTCAGAGCAGGGAAATGGCGGCGCCCTCCCTGTCGCTTGCTGTGGGGACCCACTGGGTTCCGGTCCAATCACCCACTCCCTCGCTTGTCTATCTGTGCACAAATGCGCGACCACAGTCAACCCGCAGCCCTGCTCCCTCGCTGTTTCCCTGCGGTCGCTTGCTTGGTTGCGCTCTTGGTCCAACCGTGCGCCTGGATTCCGTCTGACGGAGTTTTCCTGTGCAACCCCGCTCCACCAGCTGCTGGTTTCGCCCCTTACCGGTCAGACTGAAGAATTTGTTGTTAACAGACTTCCAAAAAGTTCAGTTTTCTGTGTTCTGGCTGTGTTTTCTGTTGCTAATACTTAGTTGTCTCTCAACTTGGTTGTGTGAGAAGGCACGGCATATCCACCTATGTCTCCATCTTGGCGGAAGTCTCTAGAACCTTTTCTTCAAATGAAATTTCCAGGGAGTTCCAGTGTCTTGAACAGATAAGTGCTGAGTTAGCCCACTGGGATGGGCTGCGGGCTGGGGGGGACCTCACCCCGTCAAGGCCCTGGGGCCTCCGGGAAGCAGAGCTGAGCTTGAGAATGAAGCTTTGGGGTTTTTCACAGCCTGTTCTCTTCATTAGAGAAATAATAAAACCACCCCCCCCCCCAGCATCCCACTGTTAGACTTCTAGGTAGTTTCCCGTTTTACAGAGACCTGCAGACCGGCGCTCTTGTCCACAAATCTGTTTCCTTAGAGAGCTTTCTGAAGGCGAGTCTCTGCATCAAATGCTCATATTTTCAAAGGAAAAAACCCTTAAAATTTTAAAAAGTGTCTATCTTATGTTTATTTTTTATTCAGTCCGTATTGTGTTTTTTTCCACTACCATTTAGTCCCCTTATCCTCCCCTGTGCCCCTAAAAGTGTCCATGTCAAGAGTAATACGTATTTTATTCAGCCGATGTGGATGAACTTCGAGAGGATTTCTGCCGAGTGCAGGCAGGCAGACAGGAAGGGCCACACAGTGTAGGGTTCCATTCATGGGACATGTTCAGAGCAGGCGACGCCACAGAGATGGAAGCCCGTCAGTGATGGCCGTGTTCTAGGGGAAGAAGGGGGTGGGGAGGGACTGCTACGGGGACGGGCATCATTTGGAGGGACAGAATGGAGTCAGGTACTGGTGATAGCTGTATACATCTCGGAGTGTATTAAACTCCCCTGAATTGTATACTTTTAAGTGGTGAATTTTATTGTGTGTGAATTATATCTCAGTAATAGTGTATACTTAGTATAAAAAAATCATACGATGAAAAAAACCTTTCAAAATAAGAGTGAAAGCCCTGGCCCTCTCCCTCCTGAAGTCCCTGCCCCGCTGTAGTCGAGTCCGGGGCAAGGTGCTGGCTCTGACCGGGAGCAGAGGATCGGCGGTGCCTGGTCTCAGGAGCACTTTGGCGGGGGACAGGCACTGACCACATCGTCACAGGTATTAACCACACACTGTGGACAGGTTCCAGGAGCAGGGAGAGCAAATAACGGGGCGCCGATCTAGCTTGGGGTGGAGGAGGGTCCTCTGCCATGTGACGAGAAGCGCGTAGACGTTTACCAAGGCGGGGAGACTGGCGGGGAGAAGGGCCTTCCTGCAGGGTCATGACCCTGCCATGGGAGGACCAGAGAAGGCTGGTTGGAGCCAGAGCCAGGACGAGCGGGGGCAGCAGAGGAGTCAAGGCCTGGCGGTGGGCAGGGGCCAGACCCCACGAGGCCTGGTGGTCCCTAGTGAAGAGGCAACTAATTGCTGTTTTATTCCCACATTGCGTTTCTCTCCCTCTCTTTTCCCCTCCCTTCTCCTCTCTCTAAAAATAAGTAAATTACCATCTTTTAAAAAAGTAATGGTGTAGAAAGATAAGTAAATGTCTTCTCTTACTCCATTCTTTCTGGGAAGTGAGCACTGTGAACAGTTTTTCGGTACATCTTCCGGAAGGCCGCACACACCAAGCAACACATACGTTCTTTTAGAAACACGTGTATATTCCAGTGGGTTCGTGCTTGGTCGGTTTTGTTTTGGATTCTAAAACTGCCTCATTTGTTACACTATATTTGAACAATACCTTATTAAGATGTATTTTGGGTGCTTTCAGTTTGGGGGTTTATAAACAGTCCTGGGATGAATATTTTGTTCATATAGCACCTTGTACTTTTGCAAACTGTATTTTGCATGTACTTCTAAGTTTTTTTTGGCGGGGGTGGAGACATGTTTCTGCAAGGGGGCGTTAGCGATTCGCAGCCCCACTGGCCGCCCCAAGACGGCCACCCCCCCCCACACACACACTCACCAGCTGCAGGCTAAGGCCTAAAATAAGCGTCCTCACTAATCTGATGGGCGAAAACCAGTGTCAGCACTTCAGCCCGAATCTCCCTGAGTGCTGAGGAGGCTGAACTGAAAACGAGCTTATTTTCCTTTCAGAGGCCCCTGAACGTGACAGTGATCCGCAGAGGGGAGAGACACCAGCTCAGGCTTGTCCCAGCGCGCTGGGCGGGCAAAGGACTGCTGGGGTAAGGTGTCTGTTGGGGTTCGCTCACACGCTGTTTGTTAAACCTAAAGCCGGGGGGTGGGGGGGTGGGGTGTGTGTGAGTGAGTGGGGCGTGTTGGGAACGTGTTGGGAAATGACGGGGATCCCCTGTGGCCTGTGGGACCCACGGGGAACTCTGCGGCAGGATCAGGCTGTGGGTGCGGAGGTGGAGGGAGCCCCGCCCCTCTGGTCCTTTCATTCACTGGGAATCTGCTCGGCAGAGCCAGAGAGTGTACAAGACTGCAAAGCACAGGAGGGCTCACCTTCTGATCTTCCTAAATGGAGGTGCCAGATTTACGCTGTTTCTTTTCTTTTTTCCTTCCAGCTGCAACATTATTCCTTTGCAAAGATGACTGTCCCTGGGGAACAGTAACAGGAAAGCGTCTTTGGTTGCCATGGACTTGGGTCTGGGGGGGATTTCTTCCTTCTCGTCTCTCCCTGAAGTTTAAGGATCTGGAAGAGGCTGGAAGCTGGAACTTCTAGGTGGTGGGAATGCTGTGGCCTCCGAGTATATGTAACCTCTGGGGACTAAGGGATTGTTAAAAACTTGACATGTATTTAGTGTCGTTTGCAAATTAGGCCACTGCCCTAAATGAGAGTCCTCTGATTTTGGACAAGAGGGTGGGAGTTATTCTGGCAAGATGCTTGCTGGCATGACTTTATCCTTTCAGGATTTTTTTCCCCAAATAAACACAGTTTTACAGTACTGATAAGACCAAGTAATCATCCCAACTGAATTTCTTACGAACCTCCCAGACCAGAGTGTAGATGGGAGTTTGGACATCATCATAGAAAGTTGCGTAGAACAACAGTTGTGCCAAAGCCAAATCCGACCTGCCGCGTTCGGGGCCATCATTCTTTACAGCGTGCCGTCATAAATTGTAGTGTCCCAGCCACTCGGGCCACCCATCTGCGTCTGCAGGGCAGCGTTGCTGCTCCAAATACAGAGATGGTGCCCTCAGTGTTGGACCTCTAGGGCCACAGGTGCTCCCTTTAAGAACAGAGAGAGCAGGGGGCTCCCAGGCAGCCCAGCGAGGGGTGCGTGTCCTCGTCCATGAGCCACCAGAGGGCAGCAAGCTCCCTTCACTTCTCAAATAAAAAGGCCTGCAAACTAGCTTCTCATTTCACTTTTTGTACTTGAACCTCTTTGTCCCGCCCTCCCATCAGCACTGTTTTATAATGGCCCAGGTGGGTCTGATGCGTCTGATGGGACCACGCGGCGTGCGCAGGGCTGGCCTCTTGAAAATGCCGATTCCTCTTGTTTTCTCTGTAACAGCGAAGCGGGTGTCAGTGATTCCTAGGGACTCTGGTCTTTCTCTCGTCGATGTGTCACAGTGTTGATTTCCCCAGTTGTCACCGACCAGCCTCTCTGTCAAGAGACCTGGCACTTGGCCAGGGCCTGCTGGTGGCCTCTGAGCCTGCGTTTGCCTGGGTTGCACCCAGATGCCAGCCTGCCCTGATGGGGCTCAGTATGGGGACGTGCTTCCAGCCTTGGGAGCCTTGCTGTTGAGTGCCTTCCCCAGGCTGTTCCTTGTGTCGTATGCTCCTGTGTCCCCTGTAGCCGTAGTGTTTACCAGTCTTTGCTGTTTATATTCTGTGTTCGAGTTCCCAGGGCTTTTCAGTCTCTTTTTATGAGCCCTCGGTGATAATAAACACAGCTTATCCCATTCAGTTTCTTCCTTTTTTCTTTTTGTGATGTCTGTATTTGAATCAGCCAGCTTTGGGGCATGGGGGTGGAAGTGGGGGGCTCATTCACATTCTTCTAAAATGAGAGCAGCAAGAGTTTCTGCTTCCGGGCCTTCGGCCGATTTTCAGCAGGTCTCCCTTATGAAAGCTCCAGATGGCCACCTGTGTACCCTTCTGTGAGACTGCAGGCAAGGGTCCCTTTGAGGTAGAATGATCCTAACATTTAACCGAACTGGCTTTGCAGAAACGTTTTGTGATAAGAACATCAAGACGATGTAACCGATATTTTCTGCACACAACACTTTTCACTCTGGTGAGAAGGTATGGAGGACAGAGGGGAGCAGCATCCACGAGACGGGGGACTTCCGTTTGCTTTTGGCAAAGAATTTTATCAAACCTTTCGTACTTTCCTTAATCTTTTTAAGCCTGGGAAAGTCAAAACTGCTAGTGTGACCCGCTGTAGCGCCTCCTCCGGCAGTGGCGCCAAGGAAAAAAGGGGTTGGGAGGAAAGAGGGTGGGAGCAGGAAAGCCAATTTCATTTTGTAGTCCCAGCAGCAGTGGCGCGCCTCCCGTGGTACCCGGGAGTACCAGTAGGGGGAGCACAGCCCGCTCCCGGCAGCTTTCTGAGCACGTGACCACCGCCCAACCTGCTTTACGGCTCAGGGCCTCGGAAGGCGGCGGTTACCATGGGGACAGGGCTTGGGTGGCAACCGTAACTAAGGAGCCTGTGTTGGAGAAAGCGGGACTGTTGGAGGCCAGTAGCCTAGGGGTCCAGGCCAGGGAGGATGCCGGCCTTTTGAGGACCTGGGTTGGCACGCTCTGTAAGTCTGGGGCGGTAACCACGCGGCTCGAGCAGGGGTGCCCAGCAAAGCGGGACCTGGTGCCTCGCCGGGGGCCACTCACCTTAGCCCGGCAGAGCCCAGTCTGGGCAGCCCTCCAGAGACTTGAACTGAGAGACAAGGGGCCGCGCGTGCACCCCACAGACCCACACACTTGCCACCACCCCCAATCAAGATTCACTGGCAGAGTTTGGTATCGGAAGAGACTCTGGGCCGAGGGCCTGAGGCTTGAAATCAATACCTTTTCAGGCGGAAATACGGAGCGGCAGAGGTCCACAGCTCACCAGCCGTGTGATCTTGAGTAAGTCACTTCAGCTCTCAGAGCCCAGAAGTCTTATGTTTAGTTTGAGGAGTAAATGAGAGATTAAAGGCCTTTAAACTTTTTAAACAGTTGCTACCCTTTCTCAAGCATCATGTGCTGCAACTGTGCTGAGCATATTACGTATGTCATGGAATCTTCACAATGACCCCAGAATTTGGGCTTGTTATTTTCATTTTGCTTGTGAGCAAGCAACTTTAGACTCCGAGGCATAAGTGACTTGCCCAAGGTCACAGAGCAAGTGAGCCACAGAACTGCGTGCCAGGAGAGGCTGGCAGCAAAGCCGGGCTTCTACCCACGAAGCCACACTGCTTCCTAGTCATAGCCCTAGAGTTGTCACTAATGCCTGGGTTATGCCTGTTGCAATATAAGTATATTTAAAGTGAGTTAGCCCTAAAGTTACTCCTAGAAAGCTGAGAGGCACCAGGATCAGTATTTCAAGATTTGGGACAGGCTTTCCCAGGTGTATGGCATCCTTTTCATCCCCGTGGGAAGGAACCAGAGTTGGGTATGTACATTTTATCGCTAGGGTAGTTCACCAAGCAATCGAAATGGGAGCTGGGTCCTGCCGATCATAATGGTCAAATTTTTCTAGAGGAAACTCCACAGAAGAATGGCAGATACGGAGCCAAACCCACTGGAAGAATCAGAAGTGGAAGAAGAAGAAGAAGAAGAAGAAGAAGAAGAAGAAGAAGAAGAAGATTATCCAAGTTATACAGAGGAAGCAAATAAGCAAGAGGAATCAAAAGATGACCCATTAGCATGGAGAGACTCTCAGGAGGAGCAGGAGGGGGAAGGGGAAGAGGAAGAAGGGGAGGAGGAGGAAGGGGAGGAGGAGGAAGGGGAGGAGGGGGAGACCATCAGAGGAGAAACAGAGGAAGCGGCTGGAGCAGCATGGGAGGAGGGGGCTGCAGGGATCTGGGAAGAAGCCACAGTGAAGCCCCAAGAAATCACCACGCCCGTGACCCCTTTGGAGGAACAGACATTAAGTGATTCCCAGTTGATCACATCAGGAACTTTTCCAGTAAGTAGTCCTTGCCATTCATTCATTCATAACCATTAATTGAATGCTTACTATATCCCAGGCCATGGAGATACAAAACTTAGTAAGACACAGTCCGTGTTCTTGAGTTCTAGGCTGAGCAGGGAGGCAGACCCATTACCAAATGGTATAAGCCAATATTCTAAGTGCAGAGATGGAGAGATGTGGTGGAGCTGTTTTCCGAAACAGGACAACATACCCCAACTTGGAGGAGGGTCAGGGAAAGCTTGCTGGAGGAGGGGCTGACTGCGCAGCTGGTGGGGGTGGGCCCGAGCGTACTGGTCTTAGAACGGCCAGTGGGGCTGGCAGTGGAAGCTTCCCAGAAACCCTCCCTGCAGGGGAACTCAGCTCTGACTCGAGGGGAACGGACTCCCTGCGGCTCATGCACCTGTGGGAGACCAGCGGAAGGATGGTTCTGCCCTCGTGGGTCTGCTGGTGGGCCAGGAATGAACCTGACACCCCCGCGATTCGTGTGATTTGAGTACAAAAATGTCCGGCCCACAAAAATGTCCAGGTTCAAAACATAATTCCATTGGGAGGCTAACACTGAGCCTGGCTGATTAGGAAAAGAAAGGAAAAGAAGGAAGAGTGTACTGTATTTGGAATGACAATCTCCTTTTATTCCTCTTTTTTTTTTTTTAAAGGAAATCCATAGTGAAAGCGAGTCAGAGCATTCGTTGCCATTGGAAGGTTCAGGAAGCCTGGGCTCTGCAGCAGAACCTCTGGGTTTGGGTGTCCCCACTTCTGAGGAGCAGCTGATGGGTTTCCTCGAAAGGCAGCCCTTGGGCGAGCTTGGGGAGACAAGTGAGCACATCCCCCAAGATGAACTAGGAGGGGAAAGGAGAGATTTGGAACCAGAGACGGACGAAAGTAGACAAGAAGAAACAGTACCCTCCTTCGCTGAGGAAAAAGAAAGCGAATTCCAGCCCGAAGCCCGCGTCCCGAAGGACTCACTGGTGGCCACCACCACCAGGGATGTTTTGTTTCGAAAGAGGGACAGTGACAACGTGTATCCCTTGGTAAGTGGGACGTGGTTTTGTGTTTCCCCAGGTGCTTTGAGAGTGTTGTGGGAGGTCCTTTGAAAACTCATTCTAGGCTTGTGTCTTTCCAAATTCGGTTCAGCCTTGGCCGGTAGCTCCATTGGTTAGAGCATTATCCCCGATACACCAAGGTTGCAGGTTCGATCACCAGGCAGGGCACATAAAAGACTCAATCAATGAATGCCTAAATAAGTGGGACAAGAAATTAATGTTGTTCTCTCTCTCTCCCTCTCTCACCTTCTCCCTCCCTCTCCTTCCCTCCCTTTCTCAAATTAATCAATAAAAGAAAATCAAATTGAGTTCAGAGCTCTAGCTGGACATGGGGGACAGGACATGGGTGATGGAATGTGGACCTGAGCCCTGCATCTGGGTTCCACAGTGGCTCAGCAGGCAGGACACCCTGACAGAGTTTGTGCACAGGGCACTGTTTTCCTTGTGGGAGATTCAAAATTCGTCTCCCCTTTTCCCGTCCCCTCCCCCCTCTCCCCTGCCCCCCCTCCTCTCCTTCTCTTCTCTCTCCCTCCTCCTCGAGTCCCCTCTCTTCCCTCACTCTCATTATCCAGTTCCTCCTCCATTGCATCTGTTCCTTTCCTCTCCTCCTCTCTTCTGCCTTAACTGGTTCAATACACTCACAAGCTCCTAAAACTTATTAAATGCCCCTAAAAATATTCGTTCCCAGACAGCTTGCTCAGTAAAAGGGATGGAACACTGAAAGCCCCTGGGAAGAGCACCAGGCAGCCGCGCCCCCGGTGCTGCGGGAGGCACCATCTGCCAGGAGCGAAAGCATTATCGCTTCCCAAGAGAAGGAAGACAAGGGTTGTATTTCCTCCTTCTTCCCCCATCTGCCATTTCTGGAAATTGCTTCCCAGGATTCATCTCCCTTTTTTTCCTCCTTTTCCCCGTAGCGTCATGCCTTGGGGAAAATGTGCAAGAGACTGAATGTACATAACTTAATGTAGTTCCTAGCGCACAGTGAGCCCCTGCGGCAAGCGTTAACGACGGGACGATGATGATGGGACCATGCCTGGCTGGAAGTGCAGATGGCTGACAGCCTCCTCTCTGTCAGTTGGGCTGCTTTGAGCAGTGGTGTTCAAGGTTGAAGTTCGCCATCGCTCAGCCTGGAAGAAAGAATAGTTGGGTTTTGGAGCCCGTGAAGACCTTTGTTCCGTTTTTTTTTTTTTAGATTTTATTTTTTGAGATCGAGGAAGAGAGGAAGAAAGAGAGGGAAACATCAATGTGCGGTTGTCTCTCGCACGCCCCCTACTGGGGACCCGGCCCGCAACGCAGGCATGTGCCCTAGACTGGGTATCGAACCAGCAATCCTTTTGGTTTGCAGGCCTGTGCTCAATCCACTGAGCCACACCAGCCAGGGCTAGACGTTTTGTCTTGATTAGCCGGCTACCAAGAAATCGGGCTGTCACTAATGAGAGCAAGGGTCTTTGATTCAGGGCCCCGCTGTCTCAACTTGACAAAGCCACTGCCCATGTTTGGGTCCCATTAGGTTTGTCTGGGCTCACCGCAGAACCAGCAGTTCCCGAGACTGTCTCCCTTCGCAGATTTGTTTAGCTCCTTTCTCCTTCTTTCCCTTCCCATTTCTTTTGCCTTTATTGTCTTTCCTTTCTGTTAAAACAATTAGGTGTTCTTTATGAAAAAAACACACACAAAAATCTTAAAAGTAAGGATTCCACTTCTTGCACACCCCTCCCACCTCAATCCCTTTTGCTTGAGGTGACTCCTGTTATGTGTTGGTGTAACCACCTCCCCAGACCTTTTTCTGTGTATATACAGGTGTGTTACCTGCGTGCTCACGTGTGTGTGCACACACGCCACACACTTCGTTTTTGAGCGTTTTTTTGATCTATTGACTTGAGAGAGGGAAGGAGAAGCACAGACCTGATGTTCCACTTATTCGTTCACTAGTTGCTTCTTGCATGTGCCCTGACTGGGGATCGTACCCACAACCTTGATGTATCGGATGATGCTCCAGCCACCTGGCCAGGGCTGCAGGTTTTGTTTTTTTTTTTTAACCAGTGATATTATTATACATTTCTTTTTTTAAAATATTTTATTTATTTATTTTTCGAGAGAGGGGAAGAGAAGGAGAAAGAGTGGGAGAGAAATATCAATGTATGGTTGCCTCTCATGCGTCCCCTGCTGGGAACTGGCCTGCAACCCAGGCATGGGAATCAAACTGCAATACTCTGGTTCATAGGCCCGCGCTCAATCCACTGAGCTACGCCAGCCAGGGCATTATTATACATTTCTTAAAAAATACTTCCCCATTTCATATGTTTTGGAGGGTTTTTTTTTTATATCCTTGCCTGCTGATCTGCTTCATTGTTTCAAATTCAGCCGTTCTGTTGATGGACATTTACGTCTCTTCTACCTTCTTGCTTTCACCAAAGATGCTTCATCATTCAACAGGTGTGTTCCTCCCTCTCTCTCTGCATCCACAGTGTGTATCTCTTTTCCTTTGGGGTCCCCTGCCTTCTCCCCAAGGTTTGGGGTGACTTACAGAGCTCATGGTAAATGGGCACATCCGCGGATGGTGTTTTCCGCGAAGAAAAAAAGCATCGCACATCTAGGAGAGGGAATCTTACGACAATCAAATACAGTGAAATCTGGTTTTGACAAAGTTTTGTTTTTTCCACATCACCCTAGTTTAGAAAACGGTTGATGTCAGAGCTCCATGATCATTCGCCACGAGCATTAAAACTCCTGCTCGTGAGTGCGATTCACGCTGCGTGAGTCCAGCTGCCGTGACTGCTGCCTGGACAAGGAGGGTCGGCCGTGCGCGGCCCAGGACGTCAGCCCTGTTCCGACGCTGGAACCAGGGCTCCTTTACCTGGAGGCAGCGGTCTGGTTGGGAATGTGCTGCCTTTTATGACTGAGGTGTTATAATTGTATAACTAATTTGCTAAGTGGCAGAATAAATTTCCAAGATGAATCAAATGCTTCTTAGCAAGTTTCCAAAAGAACAATCTCACTTGAAGAAATTGGCCTTTTTTTTTTAATGCTTTAACTTTTTTTTATTGATTATGCCATTACAGTTGTTCTATTCCCCCCTTCATTCCCCTCCACCCTACCCTCCCGTCCCCACCATTACCCCCCTTTAGTTTATGAACATGTGTCTCAAGTTCTTTAGATTCTATATTTCCCATACTATTCTTGCCCCCCCATCTATTTTCTGTCTACTGTCTATGCTACTTATTTTCTGTCCCTTCTCCCCCCTTCTCCTCCTCCCACTCCCCTGTTGCTAACCCTCCTTGAGATCTTCATTTCTATGTTTCCACTCCTGATCTAGCTGTCCTTTTAGTTTGCTTTTGTTTTAGGTGTGGTTGGTAATAACTGTGAGTTTGTTGTCCTTTCACTGTTCATGTTTCTTTAACTTCTTTTTCTTAGATAAGTCCCTTTAACATTTCATATAATAAGGGCTTGGTGATGATGAACTCCTTGAATTTGGTCTTAGAAGAGCTTTATCTGTCCTTCCATTCTAAATGAAAGCTTTGCTGGATAGAGCAATCTTGGTTGTAGGTCTTTGGATTTCACGACTTGGAATACTTCTTTCCAGCCCCTTCTTGCCTGTAAGGTCTCTTTTGAGAAATCTGCTGACAGTCTGATGGGGACTCCTTTGTAGGTGACTGTCCCCTTAGCTCTTGCTGCTTCTAGGATTCTCTCCTTCATTTTAATCTTGGCTAATGTAATGATGATGTGCCTTGGTGTGTTCCTTCTTGGGTCCAACTTCTTTGGTACTCTCTGAGCTTCCTGGATTTCCTGGAAGTCTATTTCCTTTGCCAGATTGGGGAAATTCTCCTTTATTATTTGTTCAAATAAGTTTTCCACTGGTGGCTGTGCCTTTCCCCCTTCTGGTACCCCTATAATTCGGATGTTGGAGCATTTAAAGATGTCCTGGAGGATCCTAAGCCTCTCCTCATTTTTTTGAATTCTTGCTTCTTGACTCTTTTCTGTTTGGCCATTATTTGCTTTCTTCTGGTCCACTCCCTTGATTTGAGTCCCAGTTTCCTTTTCATCGCTATTGGTTTCCTGTGCAATTCCATTCATTTCAATTAGTTTCGCCTTCATATGTTTGTCTAATTTGTGGCTATAATCAACCAGTTCTGTGAGGATCCTGATCACCGGTGTTTTAAACTGTGCGTCTGTGAGTTTTGCTATTTCTTCATCGCTTAGATTTATAGGCTCTGGGGCTTTGAGATCTTCTTGAGCCATATTTATTTGGTCTGTTCGCGCCCTTTAAGTCTGAGGAGCGGAGCCTTGGACTCTCAGGTCGCTTGGTTGTGACGCTGTATGTGGGGGCGTGGTCAGAGCGGGGAAATGGCGACCCCCTCTACTGTTTCTCGCTGCTAGGTGAGGAGCAGAGCCTTAGGTGGTTCGCCAGGGCGGGGCCACTCAGGTCGCCGGGTTATGACGCTGTATGTGGAGGTGGGGTCAGAGCGGGGAAATGGCGGCGCCCTCTGCTGCCGCTCGATGTGGGGCCTGCTCAGTCCCGTAGTCTCACCGCCCACTCCCTTGCTTGTCTATCCACGCACGAATGCGCGACCACAGTCAACCCGCAGCCCTGCTCCCTCGCTGTTTCCCCGTGGTCGCTCGCTGGGTCGCTCACTAGGTCCAACCCTGTGCCTGGGCTCCGCAGGGCCGAGTCTGTCTGACCGAGTTTTTCTGTGCAACCCTGCTTTTGACAGCTGCTGGTTTCGCCCCTCTTACCGGTCAGACTGAAGAATTTGTTGTTATCAGACTTCCGAAAAGTTCAATTTTCTGTGTTCTGGCTGTGTTTTCTGTTGCTAATATTTAGTTGTCTCTAAACTTGGTTGCGAGAGAAAGCACAGCTTATCCACCTATGCCTCCATCTTGGCGGAAGTCCCAGAAATTGGCTTTTAAGAACCAGCCAGATACTCAATAGTTCCGTTCCTGGAAGTTGCAGCTTGAGACAGTGAGGAGCCCATCGTTCTACCGCTCACACCCACGCAGTGAGAGACCCAAACACCAGTGCGGATCACGGGGCATGGGCGGATGGAGACAGAGAGGAGGGGGATGAGGGCTGTAGGGGAGAAGCACTGGCCAGGCTGCCCACCCTGTCTGTCCTCTGGGAAATGCCTCTAGTCTCTTCAGCCTTCCACCTATTGGTCAGAGAAGAGAGGGATTCTCCAGACTGTTTCTGTACGCCCATTTAATTCACTGGTTTGTAGTAACTGATCACTTAGCCAGCGCTGTAAACACTACCCCATTTGATTAGCTGGCCTCGTTCGTTTTTTAAATAGATTTCATTTTTTCAGCAGTTTGAGTTTATAGAAAAATTGAGCAAAAAGTGTGGAATCCTGTTTTTTCTTTTCTTAATCTCTTTTTTAAAAAGTAGACTTTATTGATTATGCTATTACAGTTGCTTAATTTTTTTCTCCCTTTATTCTCCTCCACCCTGCATCCCCCTCCCTCCATCATTCCCCCCTACCTTAGTTCATGTCTCTGGGACACACATGTAAGTTCTTTGGCTTCTCCATTTCCTATATTATTACTAACCTCCCCCGTCTATTTCGTACCTACTGTTCATGCTTCTCATTCCCTTTTATTAATATCTTGCATTACTGCAGCACATTTGGCATTGTCACTGGGCCCATATTGATACGTCACTATTAACTAAAGCCCATAGTTTATCTTAGGGTTCATTCTATGTGTTGTGCATTTCGTGGGTTTTGACAAATGTATGATGACAAGCATCCATCATCACAGTATTACACAGAACAGTTTCAATGCCTAAAAATCCCCTGTGTCCCCCGTAACTTGTGGCTCCCCCAGCCAGGCCCCTGGCAACCGCTGATCTTGTCATCGTCTCCAGTTTTGTCTTTTCCGGAAGGTCATGGCATTGGAATCCTGCGGGGCGCAGTCTTTTTTGGCCAGCTTCTTCCACTCCGCAGTGCGCGTGGGAGGTTGTTCCGTGCCTTTTCTGGACTCGCCAGCTCATTTCCTTTTATCACTGAATAATATTCCATTGTATACACCTGCCACAGTTTAGCGGTAATTTTTGCAAAAAGGCTTCGAACTGATGATGCCCTGGCCAAGTGGCTCATTTGGTTGGAGCGTTGTCCCACACACCAAAAGGTGGTGGCACCAAGTCCCGGTCAGGGCACCTGCCTAGGCTGCAGGCTTGATCCCTGGCCTGGGCGCGTGTAGGAGACATCCGATCAATGTTTCTCTTCCCCCACCCCCCTCTCTCTGTCCCTTCCTCTCTGCCTAAAAGCAATAAACATATCCTTGGGTGAGCATTAAAAAGAAAAAGACTTTGAACACAAAAATATACATAAATGAATTACTATTGCATTAAAAGAGGTAGTCAAATATATAGTACCTATAATTTTTATTTCATAAAATTTTTATTTTGGATTTATCTCGTATGGAGTTTTTAACCCTACCAAGGGAATTTTGTCTCTTTATCCTGTATCCTTCTAGGTGCCTAAGGACCCAATACACAGACTGAATAATTGCCTTTCTTATAAAGTTTCTTAGCGGCATCACCGCAATGCGTGCCGGGAGCGCCCGGGGTCACAGCTCTGGGCCGGACCCTCTGTGGTGTCTTGCTGGCCTCACCTCTGTCTTCCAGACCATGACTTGGAAATTCGGATGGAACAGTTCTCTCCCTGTGTACTACATCCGAGACGAAGACCAGAGGGTGCTCCTGTACGCCAGCGCCCACACCGCCGTCATCTACAGCGTCTCCAAGAACGAGCAGCATCATCTTCAGGTGCGCAGGGCTCTCTGGCTGTAGGTCGGAGAGGGCGTCTTTGGCTTGCCTGCAGCATTTCATTTTCTTTGCCGTGTATCATGTGCTCCCACGTTTTTTTGGCCTAAACTTTCAGGAAAAGAAATATTTCATTTTAATTTTCAAATTTGATTATTTATATTTAGATACTGCTTTCGTTGCAAGTTCATCATAAGTTCAATGAAATAGATTCTCGTATTCCAGGGTGCTATTTTGCATATGGCTATTGTTATTGCTTTCTGGACTTATACTTTTAGTGCATAAGCATAAAGAAGAGAATGAAAAACATTTATATAGATACAGAATTAGTACAATCCATGTAAAAGGTTCATTCTTATTTTCCCTAGAAAATTTGGGCAAAAAAGTGCACATTATACTTAGCAAAATACAGTATGTATGTATATATGTATTTATTTTTGGAGAGAGGGGAAGGGAGGGAGAAAGAGAGGGAGAGAAAGATCGATGCAAGAAACATCAATTGGTTGCCTCTGATACGGGCCCCCATCGGGGACCAAACCTGCACCCTAGGCATATGCCCTGACTGGGAACTGAACTAGTGACCTTTTGCTTTGCAGGACGTCCCCCAACCCACTGAACCGCACTGGTCAGGGTGCGTTTCTGCTTCTTTATTCCAAGAGCTGACTTCACTGTACCAGTCTCATGTTTTCCAGCCTCTCTTCTGAACTGTAGCAAATCCTGTCTTTAGAAACATATTTTACTGTTCATTTTCTCTTCGATGCTAATTAGAATCAATTTAGAAAACAGCAGTTGCTTTTAATTTTATAGTAACAAGAATTTAAAACGTCTGTGTTTTTCACATTTCCTCGAGACTGTGCCCAGGGTGGATCATGTGCCCGCAGAGCCAGGGGAGGCACAGAGGACTTCTGGCCTCACTCGCACGGGGCTCCGTTCCAGGTTCCAAAGGGCTGTGATCCTCTGAGTCATGCTAAAAAGTGGGTGTTAGTAGCCCCATAAGATTTTATTTATTTATTTTTAGAGAAGAGAAGGGAGGGAAGAAGGAAGAGAAACATCAATGTGCGGTTGCCTCTGGTGCGCCCCCTACTGGGGACCTGGCCCGCAACCCAGGCCTGTGCCCTGACTGGGGATCGAACCAGTGATTCTTTGGTGCACAGGCCAGTGCTCAGTCCCCTGAGCCACACAAGCCAGGGCTGATATCCCCATTTTAGAAGAAGAAACTGAGGCTCAGAGCGATTTAACCAACTCACCCATGACTGCACGGGCACATGGGAAAACCAGGTCTGCAACCCAGGTCTCCTGACTGGAAGGTCTTAAGTAGCTCTGTCGTCCACTGCTCTCTCCCTCGACACCCTTCCTCACGGTCACCCTTCTGTGCCCCCCAGGCAGCCGCCCTGCCCAGCCACTCTGCTTCCTCTGCTCCTGGCATTTCCAACCCCTTTCATTTTCATCATTGACCCCCCCCCCCAAGCGCGGATCTTCCTGGTGCCTGACTAACAGTTAACCTGGTAGACACTTCTGTTACCCTTTCAATTAACATATATTTTAGTAAGTACCTCCTTAGTCAACACCTAGAACAAAAACATCACAAAGTATTTAAAGTATTTTCTAAGGGTTAAGTCAGCACTCGGCGTTGTGCCAGGGATCCCAGACACGGGGGTTCAACTGAAACGCACACACACGAAAAACCAGCGGGCAGCTTGTCCTGGGGCCGAGCGCAGCAGTACCAGCCGAGGGAGAAGGGAGAGGCTGTGTTACAGGCGGGGAGAGCCAGGGAGGGCCAGCAGCTGGCAGATGGGCGGGGACAGGCAGGAGTCCAGCTCCCCGGGCCAGATGGCTGCGGATGGCCGCCTCGGCTGATCGTCCATTCATCCCACAAACACCACGACCACCGTGTGTCAGATTGTGGGTCTGCAGCCACGAACCAAACAGGCCTCGTCCCCCTCACGGAGCTCACAGTCCGGCGGAGAGACGGACATTAAACAAGGGGACACACAAAGGGATGATTGTACACTGTAACCAGTGCTCGGAAGAAATGTGAAATGCCATGGAAGGGAAAATCAAGGCTGAGAGGAGACCTGGGTGGGCAGGGTGGGCAGGGAATAGAGCTGTTTGTGCCAGGACCGAAACGTGAGAAGGAGCCACGCAGGGGCAGAGTGGGGGACAGGCGGACAGTGCCCCGGTTCTCAGGCCGGCACTCCAGGCCCAGACGGGAGGCCGCTGGGCAGAGTGAGCGAGTGGCAATGAGGAGGGAGGAAATGGGCTACCTCTGGCAAGGAGCACTGCCATCTTGTCTGTGTTTCCAGAAGATCCTCTATGACATAGGGAAAGGATCGGAGTGAACGCAGAGAGACCGGGGAGGAGGCTTTCTCTCCAGAGCTGCTCAGAGACCTGAAGTGAACAGGGTTTTGGGGAGGTGAGGCCGGCAGGGGGGCCTCTGGGGCTGGGGACCAGCCGGGACACTCGTTCTCAACCTGTGCTCAGAGGGGGGTGCTTGCCTAGGCCCCTCAGAAGCCCGTTCTTGTGGGGAGCGTAGCTTATCCTGCAGGAACTGTGTGGGAGAGAGTGTTTGAAAACCACTGGCTGCGGGGTAACCGAATTCCCAGCCAGATGAGCCCAGAAGGGGCTCGGTTCTCTCTGGGCCCCCCGCCTGTCCTGCCAATACCACGGCTGGGCCGCATCCCCGATCCTTCAAAGCGTCTTCTCCCCGTCTCTGTAGGGCCACCCGAACGTGATCTCCTGTCTCTGCGTCAGCGAGGACAGGCGGTGGATCGCCACGGCGGACCAAGGGCCCAACTGCCTGATAATCATATGGGACTCCTTCACAGGGTAGGTCGGTGCGGTCGCTTCCCCTCCACCCCCCATTCTGGAAGAGCGGCTGCCGCTGTGACCGGCAAAGGCGCGTAATGCCCATCAGGGCTACAGAAGCCAGCGGTGGACACAGCATGGGGGGTGAGGTTGCCGGGCAGCCTGGTGGTCTTGTCACTGCCGGGCCTGATTCAGTGACGTGACCTTGACGACCCTCCCAGGGACTCGGCCTGGCTCTTGCGGCCTAGAAGCTCCGTGTGTTTGGGTCCCAGAGCCGACTGGGCCGGGGGAAGCCAACTCACATGCACCCAGCGCAGTTCAGTGGCTTCCCCACCCAACCACACCTGTAGTCGGAGCTTTCTCCAGCTGCTGTAAGACGTGGCCGCCGACTGGGTGGGCGGCTTAAAATAACAGAACTTATCTCCTCACACTTCATGAGTCCAGAGGTCGGAAATCCGGACGGCCCCTTCTGGGGGCTCTGAGAGAGAAAACGCGCTTCTCCCCCTTCTGGTGGCTGCTGGCCAGGCCCGGCGTTTCTGGTCCGGCCGCTGCTGCCTCCCCATGGCATTTCCCCCTGTGTCTCTCCGTGTCTTCTCTCCTGTGGGGACGGTACCCGCAGAGCGCGGTGCCCGCCTGTGACAGGTGCTCAGACGGGTTTTGTTTCTGCTGGTCCCGGGTGCAGAGCTCCGCTAGACTCTTGGCCGAGCACGTAGGCCCTGGTTGAGTGCGGGGTGGGGCGGGTGGCGTGGGGAGGAGGTGGGCAAGTCCCGGTGGACAGGATCGGGAAGGAGTTACGTTTAATGTCCTAGGACACAGACGCCGTTCTCCCCCTGGTGACGGGCAACCTCTGGAGGGACATGTCCCTGACCCCAGTCCTTGTCTTGCCTGGCCCTGTCCGTTTTCCTTGGCTTCTCTGACACCATGTGCCTGCGGTCCTCACCCCGCTCGCTGACCGTCAGTTCCTCCTCGGACCCTTCTCAGACTCACCCCCGCGCCCCGCCCCCCCATTCCTCGGCTGTGGCCGCAGAGCGTGGGGAAGCTGCCGGAGGGCCTGCCACAGTCTGCGCGTGCATGGCTTCAAGCCCATCCCACGGTTGGCTTTTAGAAAGTCACTTAATGGGAAGCTGAAGTCCCCTTCGGCAAACGTCTCCAGTCCTAGTGCACTTCCTAGAGGGCGTGGGTTTGGTGTGATCCTCCGGGAGCCTGCTGCTGTTTTAAACAGGCGCACACGGACATCCCGTGTGCCGTGCGGTTCTCCTCCGCGGCACCTTCAGTGCGATCTTCTCCAAACACACCCCTCCGCTGTGTGGCTCCCTGCCTGCTGCCCCTCAGCAGCCGCCCGCTGCCCGTCAGCCTGTGTTTTGGGACGTTCGCACCACAGCAGTACCATAGCGGTGTGGACACTTTCCTCCAGCGTGACATTTATTCCCGGTCTGCACACCCATCCGCCACGCAGCTGTCACACGCTGTCAGTGGCCACGCGAGGGCACGGGCTCTCCTGTAACAGAGAGTAGTCCGCAGGCAGGGCAGGTGGCCCCCACGGGGGACGGCCCCGCCCCAGGCCAGGCTGGCCCCCGACTCTGTCCACCCTTTGATTTGTTGCCAGTTAGTAAAGCTGCCTCCTCCCCCACTAGACTGGGAGCCACTTGAGGGCGTGATTTTTTTTTTTAAAGTAAAGCATGTCTGTGGCTAACTAAGTTCCACCAATGTCGATGTGCATTTCATGATATTCCAAGTGACCCAGAAACGATGATTTGGGTGTAGAATTAATATTCGCTTTATTAAAGTGACAAATTAAAAACCATAGCTCTTTAAGCTCTTTGTTGAACTTATAAATTGTATTCTATGTATAAGTCTGGCATATTTTTGCAATTTCCTTTAAGGGGACTTTGATTAATGTTTGGCTCTGCTTACCAATTTGATTATTAACTCCTTTTAAACATTTTAAACTGCATGTAGAAATGGAGTATATTTGGTTTCATCTTTAAGTTCTTTAGTAGTCTCATTAACGAATAAATCCTTCACCGGCACTTAAGCAATTCTTGTAAATCTGATAAATTAGACATAAACATGGCAACTCTTAAGCTCTCTTAAGCATTTTTGTATTGTTTATAAACCTAATATGATTTGAATTTAAAATTACAAGCCTAAATCAGCTATGCTCTTTAAATTAGAATCACAGATGTAGTCTGTTAGAGACTCTGGTAGTTAAAGTCTCTTAAATTCCACCCATTCCAAAAAAAATGAACCAATTCTCTGATCCCAAATAGGTTAACAGTGGGGGTCTCACTGCTTTCCTCTTCTGTAGGTTTGATCCTAAACAGCGCCAGGGGTAGGATGTGTTTTCCCACTAAGGACATCGTGAGGCATTCCTGATAACTTGAGGAAGTTCCCAAGTGACAGAGAACTGAGCTGGCCCTCAGCGAGGACCCTGATGTGACATACGAGGCCCGTCCCCATTCGCTGAAACAACAGCCCCCTGGTGAAAAACACTGCGGCGCTAAGAGCCCACTGGGTCTTCCCGCACCACCCACTCTCCATTTCCACGGAAGGCAGGGACCCCCCGGGACAGCTTGCTTCCCTCATCCCCACCTGGTCCCTCGCGTTTCTTTGGCTCTCTCAGGTGTTCAGGCAGCGCCCGATTCAGTGCTGATGCGCCGAGGCCTCGCCTGCACGTCACCGTTCTCAAGTCCTGCCGGTGTCGCAGCGGGGGGTTCACAAGTAAAAGCGATGAAAGTCCCCCCTCACTCCAGCCCCGTCTCTGGGTCCCCGTCGTCTCGTCTGGAGTCCGTTCCTCCAGGCTTCCCTCTGAGCCTGTAACCGCCCCCCAGGACGGGCTCTGTCCACCTTTTGGCACCTTGCTTCTTCCACAGGGTTTCGGTGACTTTCCCGACCCACCTCATTCTTTTTGAAGGTGGCTTAGGTTTTTCATGATGCGACTACGTCCCAGCATTTGTTAGCAATTCCCACGTTGACGGAGATTTGCGTGGCTTCCAGGCTTTTGCTATGAAAGCAGTGCCCCGGTGAACACAGGTGACGTTTGTCTCTGTGTCCTTTTGCTCCTGTTTCTCCAGGAAAAGCTGAGAGGTGGCATTGTGGGGTCCCAGAGCATGTGCGTTGAAAGCTTTGAAAGCGACAGCTAAGCTGCTGTCCAGAAAACCTGTGTTTGGGGACGGTCCCACTTAGTAGGAGAACGCCGGCCTGCTGTCAGCCAGGGTGTCCTCCAAGGCGTCTCCTGTCCTCCTTTTGTCCCCGGAACCTGGCCTAGGAGTGGCTCGTGGTAACGAGGGGAGCCCGGAGCTCACAGAGAGGGCCAGCAGCACCTTTACGTGCTGCCCCCAGTTAGTCCCTCTTGGTCACTGAGGTAACAGTCACGTCACACAATATGGAACATTTAACAGTGAGCAGGTTGGTGGCATCCAGCACCTTCACCGGCTTGTGCCACCGCCACCTCTATCTGGTTCCAAAACAGCCTCACCCACCGGAAAGGAGACCCCTTTCCCATTCAGTGGTCACCTCTGGCCCCACCCCCAGCCCCGGGGAAACAGCAGTGCAATTTGCTTCTCTCCGATGTGCTCGTGCTGGGCGTCCCCCGGCAGCGGACTCACAACACGTGGCCTTCGGTGTCCGGCGTCCCTCACACAGCATCACGTTCTCACAGTTCGGCCAGGTTGTGGCCGAGCCCCCCTCTCCACTGGATGGGCGGCCACCTTTATGTATCCACAGTTGGCATGTTTTTGGAGTGGGCCCCCCCCCCCCCCGGGAACCCAGGTGCACCCAGCAAATACTTGTCCCCCGCCCTGTCTCGCAGGATCCCTGTGCACACGATATTCGACAGCTGCCCGGACGGTCACGGCATCAGAGCCATCGCCATGACCCGCGACGCCAAGTATCTGGCCACCATCTCCGATGCTGAAATCCAGGTACAGGGACCTGTGGGGTGGCCTCAGCGGGCTGCTGGGCCATCCAGCATGTCCCCAGGAGCAGGCTACCCAGGCCACGCTGGTGGCTTTGCTCACCATGCTGCGCTCGGTTACGGCAGTGACGGAGTTGCCACCATGGGCGTGGTGTCAGCGGCAGCTCTCAGAAACCTCCCCCTCCTCCTGTCCTCTCGCGCTGTTTACAGAGAGTCTGCATCTGGAGGTGGACTTTGGCGGCAGAGACGCCGGCGTGTTCTCTGGACCTTCCCAAAGAGTATGGTTTTCAGGTGAGTTCCACCTGGGCCTGGGAAGAGCTGCCCCATCTTGGGTGGCGACTCACGCACGCCCCCTGCTGACGTTTCCATCATGTGCGTGTGCGTCTGGAGGGTCCTGTTCCATCGTCCTCTCACTTACATTGTTCCTGTTGAGAAGTCAACCTCGATCTTGTTACTCCCCCTTTCTTTCTCTTTTTAAAATTTACACCTCTTTTACCGTCCTTGGGTGCTTTTAAGATGTTTTCTCTTGGCTTTCAGCAGCTTTTTGGTAACATGTCTATGTGTCTATGGATATGTTGTTGATTTAAAAAATGTAATAAAACTTATCCTTTGGGGTTTTCGAAGTTGGAATGTCATGCCATTCCTCAATTTTGAAAAACTGCCAGCCGTTCTCTTTAAACGTTACTTTTGCCACATTCTTTCCTTCCTCTCTTTTTGGGACTCCAGTTACATGTAAGTTAGGCCTTTTCGTCTTGTCTATAGGTCTTTTATCCTCTTTTCTATATTTTCTGTACTTTTTGTCTTTATGCTTCTGTCCAGATATTCCCCCCAACCCCCACCATAATTTATCTTCCTTTTTTTTTTTTTTTTTACTAATAATCACTTTTTTGGCTATCTTTAATTTTCTATGAAACTATATTTTGCATTTCAAAAATATTTTTCATCTAGATCCATTGGGTTCTTTTTAAAAACAGTTATGTGCCAAGGTCACTCATCTTGTCCTCTGTTTCTCGCACGTGTTGATGGCACTTACTGCCGAGTCCAGGGGCAGTGACGCCAGCGCCTGGGTCTCCTGTGCGTCTCTTTCTGTTGGCGGCTTTCCTCCCCGGTTTCCGGTCATCTCGGGGTGTCTCCTTCATGCCTGGGGATTTTTTGTTGACTGCCCAATGCAGTGCTTTAACATCTATAGGGATCATTTGAGGCTCAGGATAACTTCCTCCGAGGAAGACTGGCAATACTTTTGTTCCTTACAGGCATTTCTGACAGCAGTCACCGTAGTCTGATCAGAGAGTGAGGCGGCCGGAGGCTGACATTTGGTCTTGGCAAGGGCTCACCCGCCCGACTTGGCCTCCTCAGTTCTTCACCCTGCCCAGGCCTTCCTGCTGTCCTGATGCAAATTCTCCGCCCTGGCCTCGGTGGCTTCCATTCCTGAAGTGACGCAGCAGGCAGTAGGGCGGGGATGGGAGATGCGGCAGAAGTGGCAGGAACAGAGCTTCCGAAGCCGCCTGTGCTGCCCTGTGTCCTGGGCTGCGGCCTCCCACCACCTTGGCCCAACCATCCTGAGGTGCAGGCTGACGGTCTCCCCAGGGGCTTCTCCCTGTCTGTTGTGTTATTGATTAGCTTCTGCATTTCACGCTTCCCTCACTTCCACAGTTTCTGCGCGGTGGGCTCTGGGGACGGGAGCCAGGCAGCCCCTGCTATTCGACCTTGGCAGGAAGCAGAACCCCCTTCCGATATTTTCCGTTCATTCCAAGCTACCCCGTGGCCCTGCCAAATTTAGAAATGCGTGTGCAGCAGCCTTTCTGCCAAAGGGCACAGGGTAAAGGTCACTGGTGAAAACTGGTTCATGTTTGCTTATTCCACTTTGTAGATGATGGATTCTAATGAATGAGACTAAACAATAAAGGGAATACATTGAGACCATTAATATTAACTCTCAGTATTTAAATTATATTCCTATTGCTCATAAAATGCCATGTCTTTTCTGTTTCATATTCCTACTCGGTTATTTATTTTAATAAAAATATCACTTAATTGTAACATTGAGCTTAGCCAGAGAGAAACAGCAAACTTATTGCAGTGTAATGTTTTCATTCTTTATATTTCAGAAGTACCTTACCTTTAATCCAACAAATAATAAAGAATTGGTGAGCAATAGTAAAACACAAGTCATATATTACTTGTGGGTAAGTAGATATATTTTGATTCATTTCAAATGTACAGACAAGTACATGTTCTTTCTTTGAGTTTTGGTCACGTAACGATATTGTATGTACTTAAGAAGTAATAGCTATATATTAAAATGTTTTGATTTAATGATAGTATTTATTTTAGTCACATTGAAAATTAGCATGTTAAATTAGAAGTAGGTAATTTAAATATTATTTAGTTTTTTAAAGTAACGAGGCAAATATATATGTGAATATACTTACCAGCTCTAAAATATAGGGTATTTTTTTTTTTGAGACCTCGGATTTTATTTCCTTTCAGAAAGCAATGAGTAAAGAGATCAGTGATATGTATACCGGACTCAGGGCAAAATCGTGAGGTTAAAATAGCATCGAAAGTTAAACATCAAGTTTTCACATGACTTGCAACTCCTAGGCACAGCCTGAAAAGAGCTGGAACCAGGCAGACAGACGCCCACACACACACACACACGAACGCTCGTGGCAGCCGCGTTCACCATCAGGGAAAGGCTGACCCAGGCCGAGTGCCGGTCAGCAGATGAGTGGATGGACGGGATGTGGTCCGTCCACGTGGTGGAAGGCGGTTCAGCGTAAGAGAAACGAAGTGCTGACTCCTCCCACCGCACGGCGAACCTTCAAAACACGATGCGCGTCGGAGGAGCCAGACACGGAAAGTCACTTACTGTGGGGGCCCGGTAACATGAACTGTGCGGAGGACAGAGCGGTGGTTGTCAGGGGCTGGAGGAGGGCCTGGGGCAGGACTGGGTGCGTAACGGGCAGGGGCTTCTTTTGGGGGAGATGAACGTGGCCTGGAGTGAGATAGAAGGGGGGTTGTATAGCATCATTAATGCGTGAAACGCCATTGAATTGTACACTTTTTTTTTTTTTTAAGATTATTCATTATCAGAGAGAGGGGCAGGGAGGGAGAGAGGGAGAGAAACATCAACGTGTGGTTGCCTCTCGTGTGCCCCTTACTGGGGACCTGGGGACCCTCAGCCCAGGCATGTGCCCTGACTGGGAATTGAACCTATGACCCCTTGTTTCGCAGGCCAGTGCTCAACACACTGAGCCACACCGGCCAGGGCTGATTTGTACACTTTTAAACAGTCAATAATTAATTTTATCTTTCATGAATGTTACCTCAATACAAGATGCCAATCAATAACAAAAGCACATTGATTGGCTGATTCCGACTGATAGTCATTATTCCAGGCATTTATGATGGCTTGAAAGCCTTATAAATGTAAAATTCATTTAAAGTCACAATCATTTGTGGCCTTTTCAAAATGTATTCGCTTTTCTCTCGGAATGTTTCTGGAGGCGGCAGGGTCCCTTTTTTACCTGTAGACACCGCGAAGCTCTGACCCGTATTGGAAGCGGCTGCTTCGATCTTGTCATTACGTAGTTCTTCCTTGGGAGACCAAGTCTTGTTTTAATAATGATGATTTTTCTCCTGTGCTCACCAGTACGAAGAGGGAGATGTACTTATTCACAGCGCCCCGCTTTTGACAGAAAAAGTGAGTTTGCCTGTAGCTATTTCATACATCCAATTGTGTGGAGGATAAGCATGCATGTGTAAGCTTAGTCATTTTGGGGGCTACTCTTGGTATGTCTTACTATGGGGAAATACTTGGGAAACTTTAGGTGGGTCCTTTGCTGCCACATCGAATTTGTCAGTTGTAAATAATGGAAGTACTCCCATGAGAAAATATCCAAAAAAAAAAAAAGTAATGGCTTCCATACGGTGGGCGTGCATACAATAAGCCCATGTGCGTGTACAGGTTCTTGTAAGTAGAGTCGGGTGTGGGTGGATCCTGTTTAAACTTCTCAGTGTTCAGAGTAATAAAAAATTATATTGGGTGTTCAGACTCCGAAGAGCCCATCAAGAAGTGGTGACCCGGGTGCTGGGGGAAACACGTCCCTCTCCTGCTCACCTGGAGCAGCGGTGTGTGGCGTGGAACTAACACACATACACACACACACACACACACACACCGCCACCACCCCGTCTCCTGTGGCATCTTGTCTTCTCTCTGGGCACGGCTTCCAGAAAGTCCATGTTCGAGGGGGCCAGCCCTGTTTTCCATGAATCAAAGTACCAGCAAATAAGTGCAGTTGTTTCTAGGTGTTTGTGGCAGTGATGTCCCAGGGAGTCTCCATAGTCTGAAGTGATAAAAACGCCTCGTACTGAAACAGGGCTGCTCTTAGGGAAATCTCGGTGCCCCCGCTTTGCCGGTGCCGGTCCTTCCCTGGCCCTCCGTGCTCCAGTCAGACAGGGTGGACCCCGGGCTCTTCTCTGCCTGGTTAGACAACTGGGTGGCAAACTTTACTCTGTCTGACGTCAGACTTATTTATATGACACCTCACAGCAGGGCACGCTTTCGCGCACAACAGACATCAGGTTCTCCTCGCCCCCCGTTAGAGAAGGTGAACAGGTTTAAACAGCGGCTGGCCATTCTCTCATTTGCTTTAAGCAGATAGTTCCATGACTCGAGTTCACACCCTTCCCCTGTTCTTAGCGAGTGAGGTTCAGAGCGTTGCCTGGACCCCGGGCAATCCATAGGGTGGGGGTGGGGCTTTTTTTTCAGCAATGGCTTTTTTTTTTAACTTTTTAATTTTTTCTACTGTATTTCAGTGTAGTATTATACAACGCTTTGTTTTATATTTATTACCAACAGTAACTCATGATCTGCCTTTTGAAATGCAGACGTTCAACAAGCTCGTGGGGAAGTTCAGCCAGTCTGTCTTCCACCTGAATTTAACGCAGATGCTCTCGGCGACCATGGAAGGGAAGCTGGTCGTCTGGGACGTAGACCGCCCGCCGCCAGCTGCCTCCACCTCCCTGGGCCTTCCCTCCATCAAACCTTGTAAACTGGTTCACGTGCAGAAAGAGGGGATCACCGTGCTTACGACAGTCGACAGGTGGTTAACGCAACTAAAAAGTAGCTAGAGATGATTCCAAACGTATGTGAAAGCCCCTTGAATGCACACCTGTATTCTGTACACACAAAGAATGTTTCCGGGGAAGTTAGCTGGGCACACAGCTGCCTCTGAGGGAAAAGACTGAGAACCAAGAGCAGGAGGGGGGCGTGGACCAACTGCTTTTTATGGTCTCGTTTGTGCTAATTGGTTTGCTTTTCTCTCTTTTCCTCATATGCATGTATTTTTAAAAATCCCTTTGTGTGTGGTGAAACAAAGAGTAACTTTTTTTTCTTCTGTACTAAACAGACTTATTTCGTGCCCTAAATTTTACATACTTTACGAAAATAACATGAACAGCTCTAGTGTTTATTCTGCTTACAAAATGACCTGTTGTGAAAAGGTGATGTACAGCATAGCTTCACAAAGCTCGTGACCCCTTTGATTTTGAGAGGCTGCATGGGGGTTCAAAGATGATGCATAAAGGCTTTGCCTCAGAGATAGAGGGTTCAGTCCCTGACCCATCCCTGTCTTGTCAAGTGGGCAAGGTCCTGAGCTTCATCGAACCTCCATTTACCTGTCTGCGAAATGGGCACAACCACAGTACCCATGTCAGAGTGTGTTATAGAGGGTTCAGGGAGACGAAGCAGGCGAAACCCCTAGCGCCCCGTCTGGCACAGCTGACCCCTGGGTCAGTGAGCCATTAACCTGCTAGAGAAGTCCCCATAAATGATGGGGAGAATTCCCTGATGGCCGGGACCCTGTCCGTTCGGGTGGAGTCACTGTGCCCCTGCTCCCCGAAAGCCCCTTCGCTTGCTTTCTCCTTTCCTCTTAGTTCAGGGGCAGTGAGGCCCTGGCGCGGCTCACAAAGAGACACGCAAGTGGGCGCCCTCACTCGGCAGCGTGGAAAGACTGTAGCAGAACTGCAGCGGACGACCCAATCAACCTGCAGTCAGCGCGGGTTAGGGCCCAGCAAAGTCCAGGCCTCGGCTCTTTCCTTCGGCGCTGAACCAAACCCAGCCAGGACCTGGCGCCCGGAGGGGAAAGGTCTCCGAAAACACTGGGCCTGTTTTTGCCCTTTCCGTCCAGCAGAGGGCAGTGAAAGATGGTTTAGCCAATTACTCGGCCCACCTGCCAGGCTTATTAATAAGAAATCTCGTTTAATCACTTTGCGTATATAAGAGGAAATTCACCCTCCCGCTACTGCATCCCCGTGACTGGAATTATGTCAGAGCCTTAAAATAAGCAAGCCCATTTGGGATGGATGTGAGGATCCATTAAAAACGGGAAATAAAAGCCATTTTGCCTGGCGGCTCTGCCTCCGGCGAAGATAACCGGGCAGGGTTTTACGGCCGCTCTCACGGCAGTGCCGGCCTGTAAAGTGATGGGTGTCCCGTTGGCAGCTGTGCGACTACGGAGGGCTGGTCGGTAGACTGTGGTCATCTGTAGTCTTACGGCGGAGAATGCACAGCACCAGGCTGGTCTCGGAGGGCGGGGACTGATGGAGCTGAGCGCACGCACTGGGGCCTGAGACCCAGCGGGACCCCTGCGCATCTCGCCGCCGCGCGGCCCTGGGAGGGTTTCCAGACATACGTGTGCCCCATGCAATACTGGGGACACGCTTTTACTAAAACATTGCTCACTGTTTATCTGAAACTCAGATTTAACTGGGCACCCTGCATTCGTATTTGCTAAATCTGGCAACCCCGGGCCTTGTGCCAATTCCTCCTCTTCTCTGAGTCGTAGTTTTCCTGGAAGGAAAGGGGGCAACAGTAACACCGGCCTCGCAGGGCAGAGCTCGAAGCGAAGTGTTTACAGCGCCTGGAGTCCAGAGCCTGACACACAGTCAACGGCTCGGTGGATGGTCCTTGTTACTGTTTGCTAACAAACTGGTGGTGTTTTCCCATCGCAGCTACATCGTCACTGGGGACGTTAAGGGGAACATTAAGTTCTACGATCACACCCTGTCCCTTGTCAGCTGGCAGAGCCACTTCAACCTCAGCGCCATAAGGTCGCTGTCCTTCTCAAAGACCCCGGCAACCCCTCCCACCGAAAAATCCAGCTACCCTACAGACTGCACTTTGAAAAGCGATCTTTTTGTGATCAGGTAAGCTGTTAACGAATCGGTGAGTCTGGTCTTGTGAATGGTCAGAAAACAATCGATGTCTCCTTTCAGTGTGCACGCCCTGGAATGTTTTCCTGGTGCCTGGGATACAGAATGGAGCGGACTGGACATCTTAGGCACCCCTTCCCTGCGTCCAAGACGGATCTCTTTGGTGGCTCATCATCACTAATCATTTTTTTAAATGAAACATCATTTTCAGATTAAGACTCTTTGGTGGCTGGAAGCTGGAAAGGGCTTGTCACTGAGCTCTGATCTGCTCTGGCTGGAGTCCTTTGGTCTCTTCTTGAAGCCGAGCTTATCCTAGCAGCATGGTTAAAGGCATTTGATAATTAATAGCCATAACATTTCAAGATGGAATTATCTGTGAGTCTGCTTAATTACCCTTGCAGTGTCTGCAGGCAGGGCTCAAAGTGTGCACCAAACTCCATATTTGCATACACAAATGAATATTTGCATGTGCAGATTAGCTAATTGTACAACCGACTGTCCATCTGCATGCTTAATGACTCAATTTACATGTAGAAATGTGGGCTTTTTCACTTGCAAATGGAGGCTGTTGGGTATTAGTGGTGTATTTTTGGAGACGTCGGGTTAATAATGTCACTAAATTACAGACGACAGAGGCGGTTCGTGTGCAATTAGGAGCCGCAGAACCGGCGGGCCTGGTCCCTGCCAGCTCTGAGGCGGTCTGCTCTCTCCTTGGCAAACAGGAATTTCATCATCGGGACCTCGGATGCGGCCGTGTACCACTTAAAGGCAGATGAGACCAGACTCGAGAAGCTGTTCAAGGAGCCCAAGGACGCCATTTGCGCCATCTCCTGCCACCCGTACCAGCCCCTCGTCGCCATTGGGAGTTTCTGTGGGATGGTCAAAGTGTGGGATTACGAGAAGAAAAAATACCTTTTCAGCAGGGTCTTTGAGAAGGGCCTTGGAGTCCAGAGTCTGACCTACAACCCAGAAGGTATTTTCATTTCATCCCAGGTTCCAAACTGAAACAGACCCAAGTGGCCGTGACCTTGGTTGTCACTGCCCCTGGAAGTCCACCTTGACTCCACCCCTGCACCAGGCTGGACGAGACACCTGCTCCCTCTGTTCCTGCTGCCCTCTGTCTGAGCTTAGTAGCATCTGAGCGCTCACCCCAGGGTGCCAGGCTTTTCTGGTTTTTCTCCTTCCAGGGACCTTGCCTGTCACATTCACCCGCTGTCTCCTCAGCACCTCGAACATGACCTAGCACGAGCTTGTGTGTCTTAAGTGACTGGAATCCTTTCCGACCATCGTTCTCTGTCTTGTGATCGCAGGGGCCATTCTTGGCGCTGGCTTCACAGAGGGGACAGTTTACATCCTCGATGCGATGTCCTTACAGAATGAAACTCCCAAGCCTTTCAGATTCTCCAGAACCTGTGTGACCCACATAAGCTTCTCCCACGACTCCAAGTATATGGCAACCGCTGTAAGTGTTCCCGCTCAGCGCTGTCCTGTGCTTCAGCAGCCGTATTTAAAACCGCAGAGGGGCCCTGGCTGGGTAGCTCAGTTGGTTAGAGCGTCCTCCTGATACCCCAGGGTTGCGAGTTCAATCCCTGGTTAGAGCACTTACAAGAATCAAGCAATAAATGCGTAAATGAGTGGAACAACAAATCCATGTTTCTCTCTCTCAAATCAATCCATAAACTCTTTTTTAAAAAGGAAGGGGAGCCGGGGGTGGGGAATGGCTGCTAAAGGGTTCAGGGTTTCTTTCCAGAGTGATGAAAATGCTCTACAATTGTGATGATGGACATACAACTCTGAATATACCAAAGTCCAACGAAGTGTATGCTTTGTCATTGTTACTGTTATTGTCATTATTATGTGAGTGAGCGGGAGAGAAACATTGATCGGTTGCCTCTTACACATGCCCCAACCAGCGGGGGACCGGACCTGCAGCCCAGGCTTGTGCCGTGACTGGGAATCGAACCTACAGCGTTTCGGTCTGTGGGATGATGATCCGGCCGCGCCACGCTGACCAGTGCTGGACTGCGCCCTTTAAATGAATCGTGTCGTGTGTGAATTATACACACCTACAAAGGCCAAAGCTGCCCCGCACCTTCCCACCCACACCCTGAGGTGGCCTCCCTCCCCGCTGGTCTCGCCCACTCTCTGACTGTTGCACTCTCAACCGTCACAATTGTTTTAAAAATGCCTTTGAATATGAGGAGCTGGACAAAGAGATGGGAGACAGAGGCAAAGGGCCAGGGCTCCCCACAGAGTGAGGTGGGGACTGTGGTGTCGCAGGGACTCTCCCCCACGGCCTGGGCCACTTGCCTACTTCGAACCTTGATTTTCCCCTTCTGTGCAATGGGTGTTATTTTACCACGTGCTCCAACAGATGAAGATTTCTTTTTGGATAAAACATTTTAACAGCAAAACTGGTATGGAAACCATGGTGATTTTTAAGTTGTGAAATGTAAAAAGGACTTGTGTTCTTTTGCTCATATGCAGGACATAAATTTTACCGTGGCCATTTACATGTGCAAGGTCAGAAATGGGCATAGAGTCTGGGAATATCTGGCAAGACTTCGTTCTCATCGCAAAAGCATCCGAAGCCTCCTGTTCGGGGTTCACCTGGACAACAATGAGCCCAGGCTGCTGAGCCTCGGGAGGGACAGACTCTTGGTGAGCCGCCCAGTTTCCGTTCACCTGCCCGCCAGGACTGGCCTCCTTCTTGTGACGTCCCTGGTGTCTGGCACAGAACCCGGCCACAGTGTGTGTGTGTGTGTTGGAGAAAATGCATGAACCTTGAAGAAGCGTAACCCCCTCGGAGCCGGTGCTTGGCACTAACACGGCTCCGACACTGTGGAGGCCTCGCGTCCTGAGTGCAGAGGCTTCTGGGGGGCAGTTGTCGGGCGGCAGGGAGGTGGTGCGTGGAAAACTCAGCCACCCTCCCCTCGCAGTGCAGTTTGGAAGGCTGGTACCCACTGGTGCTTTCTCTGTGCCCAGGGGTTAGGGGCAGGCTGGTCCCTAAATGTGACAACTAATAGAGGATGTCAGGTAAGAGGGAGAGGTAGGGACAGCAGCAAAGGTGACTTACGTGATCAAGCCAAAGGTATTCAAAATCTTTCAATCAATCAGTCTATGGACCTGTCCATTCATCTTGACTTCCTCACTTCCCTCCCTTTCCTTCCTTTATTATATCCATTCATTCACCCACCCACCTACTCATCCATCCACCCACCCATCTACCTATCCACCTATCCATCCACCCATCCATCCATCCATCCATCCATCCATCCATCCATCCATCCATCCATCACCCTTCTGTCCTGATCTGGCCACCAAACCTACCTATGGGTGAAATTCAGCAGGCTGCTCATCTGTGACTGTCTGGTGCTGAGATTTGGATGTGAATTAGCTCCTACCTCACAGAGTCCCCTAGAGCATGGGAGGTGAAGCAGTGTAACGAAACTGTAAGAGTCTAGGTTTTGGAGTCAGTGGGACCTAAATTGGAATTCTTATTTTACCGCTTCTTTGCTGTGTGACCTCGGGCAAGCCCCTGGGACCTCTCCGAACTCCGTTTTTCTCGTCTGTAAAACGTTCAGGCAAAACCCAGAGGCGGTGCTGCAGGGCAGGGAGATCACGAGCATGATGGAGCCTCATGTTTCAGAGCCCCTCGCTTCTCACTGGGCTCGGAGTGAGCACTCCCTCATAGTGGCCCATAGGCTAAGGGTCCAGGCCAGGCCTCCCAGAGGCCTGGCACTGTCTCTCATCTGAATGGGACCGTGGGCTCATTTCATTCAGCTTAGTCTTCATGGGCGTGTCTCTGGGCTCCTCTGCAGATCGAGTATAACCTTGTCAAGAGCTACAAAGACCACCTGGAAGTCCTGGACATCCATAAAACCGACCAGGAAAACTACCCGACCTGCATGATCTGGTACCCACCCCTCACCAAGGAGCGCTTCCTGCTCATCTCCACCAGCGGCTACAAAGTGAAGCTTTTCAACGCCACCACCAAAATGTGCAGGTGAGCCCGGGGGCTTCCTGCGCCTGGGGGCTTCCCACACACAGGGCGGGCCATCAGTTTCTCAGCCCTGGCTTCCAGGTCCCAGCCTAAGGACCTGCAGGCAGCACCACTGATTGCCTCAAACAGAGTCACTTTCACTCTCAGTGGTGGGGCTAGGAAGTGCCGGAGGCAGGGATCAAGGCCAGGCCCGGCACCACCCTGAGATAAGGCCTCTGAGCTCTGTGCCTGCGACTCAGTGAAGGAACCAGACCTTCTCAAAGGCTCTGAAATCCCCTGTTCTTCCCCATGGGGACGAAAACAGATATTTTCACTTTGAACACTACCAACTGTTCGATTTTTCTTACTCCTGGTTCTGAGAGGGGTTTTTCGGTTCACCGATTGCCTGCCTTTGTTCACCCAGCACTTCCTGAGCCCCGGCACAAGCCAGGGGCTGTTCCAGGCGCTCAGCGGTGAGGACAGAGAGAGACCCGTGGGTTTTGCGTCATAACGGGGCAGTGGCTTCCATGGGGATGGCTGGGCTGAAAATCCACACCGAAGCCAAGAGTCCGTGGGACTTTAAAGGCATGAGCCAAGAGAAGGTTCTAGAAGGGAAAGGGAGCTAGGCAAGAGGCTGAAGGACCAAGCCCAGGGTATGCAAAGCCTGGCGTCTTGGAGCAGCAGCTCCCGCATCCCGAAACAGGTCGGCGTCTGTGGTCGGCCTCTGTGCAGCTGTGGCCAGGAGTCCCGGCTCGATCCACACGCTACGTACTGACCCCGCTGGGCCATCCCTGCACCCAGGCCCAGCATGTGCCTCCTCCTTCCAGCTCGAACAGCCCTGCAGGGGTTTTCCCACGGAGGTTCGGGGAGGGGACTGCAGGAGGTCAAATGTCCAGTCGTAGAGCTTGACCCTCGAACCCAGCTCTGCCTGTCGCGCACTTGGCACAATGGCCCTGGTGCAGGCCCGGCCCCGTGGTCCTGCCAGTCAGCGCAAAGGCAGCCGCTTCCTGCCGGTGGTTTGGCTGCCCCGTGGCTGTGGGTGGAAAGAGCAGGGCGCTGGGGTGGGAGGGACAGAGTGAGAACACTTCGGTGACCCCCCCCCCACCCGAGAGGGGGGTCAGAAAGCCGGCCGACGGCAGCGGGCCCCAGGCCTGAGGAAGGTCATTTTTTGTAAACGCCTCTCAGGAAGACAGATCCTCGAGAGGCCGCGATCACCCAGAGTCTTTTTTTTTTAAGTCCTTTATAAAAGAGCACAAGGAAAGATGGCTAAGAAGTGCGCTGCCCTGTGGCAGGGGCTGGAGAGAAATCCAGCAAAATTTAAAAAAAAAAAAGAAAACCCTATTAAAACACAGGAAGGAGACAGTTGAAGGGAATATGTAAAAAGGAGCTTTAGGAAGGTTTCAGAATCTTCATGCATCGCTGTTAACGGACACAGGCTTTTTGGGCAAAGAATGTCCTATAGACGTGCCCAGTCCTGAGAAAAATCTGGGTTTGCCGAGCAAGGGGGAGCTGGGCTGGAGGACACCGGACTTGCAGCTGCTGTTCACAGTGACCGACCGGGGACTCGGAGCCACACACTCAGAAGTTTCTGCCCTTGGACATCAACATGAACTTAACAGAAAGCATCTTTAAGAAACGATGTATCAAGGAGAAATTCACATAAGAGAGAACTATTTTATTTTTTAAAAGATTTTATTTATTTAGAGGGGAAGGGAAGGAGATAGGGAGAGAAATATCATTGTATGGTTGCCTCTCGTGTGTCCCCTGCTGGGAACTAGCCTGCAACCCAGGCATGTGCCCTGACTGGGAATCGAACTGCAATACTCTGGTTCACAGGCCCCTGCTCAATCCACTGAGCTACACCAGCCAGGGCAGAACTGCCTCTTTTAAAGCGAAGTGTTGGGCAGCCACCACCTCTGGCTCCCCAGTGCCCCCACCCTTCCCAGTAAAACCCCTCTCAAAAGGCATGTTGTGATTTGCAGGAATAATCAAGCCTTGTGACCACACCTTAAATGGAAAGAAATTGTCTTTTCACGATAAACCCAAAGCCATTTAAAAATATTTAAAAGAACGGGAAACTGGCAGTTCACGGAAAAAGGCCAATAAGCCTGCAAGCAGATGCCGGCTGATATATCAGAGATGCAAATGAGAGCCAGGCGTCGTCTGCCCAAATCAGATTAGCAAAGATAAAAATGATCGATCCCACCTGGGGCTGGCCCAGGGCCAAGGCGGGGGTGTGGTTCCGCTGCTGCCGCTGGGCTGGAAATCTGGGCGACCTTTGGGAGAGCAGTTCGTCACCCCCGGATAAACCTGATTGTACCTCCGCCTTCGAGGAACACAGCAGCCCACAGACGTGCTCACGGCCAGCCAAGGCATAAGTCAAAGGGTGTCTTGTTGGAAAATATTGTTTAAAACAGAGACAATCCAGCTGCCCATTAATAGGGGATTAGTTAAACCCCTGCTGGTCTGCGTACGGAGACAGGATGCCGCTTTTAGAAAAGAAAGGAGAAGATAAGCTGTCTACACAGAAATAGGGAAGAATCTCCAAGATATAACTCGAAATAAAGCCAGCTGCCAAACCGGCACGAATATATTTTCATGCAAAATTACATTTAGATAATTTATATTTTTCCATATAAAGTTACAATTACATGGGTTAGAATATACGTATGTAAAACTCTCAAGTCAGACAGCCCAAAGTATCCCCACGGTTGGCTCCGGACAAAGGGCACGGCAACGTGGTTCCGACTGGCTTTCCGACTTGAGGCCGACATGTCTGAAATTCTTCACGATTGGTATGTCCTCCTTTTTCAATCAGAAGAGAAATGTTAATTTTATGCAACTGTCAGATCTCTTGACAGTGCTAGGGCATAATTCTTAGAGCCTCTACTGCGAGCCAGAAACTGTTCCGGGTGCCTTATGTATATTTACTTAGTCGTGCTCCCCAGGCTCACCGGTTACAAACCGTCCTTGGCCCTGTTTTACCAACGCAGAGCCCGAGACACAGGCTGCGTAGCTGGGTCTCACCTGTTTGTTTGTTTGTTTTCAATTTAACGTAACATGTAAACGAAAGGGCTGTCGGATGGATCTGGCGTTCACGCATTCAGCACTTATATCAGGAGCACCCACCAGCCGCTGGCTGGGTGCAGCGGCCTGGGGAGAAGGCACACCCCAAGGGCGAGGCCTGCAGAATCCAAAATGGGGCACTCGCCGCCGGCCATCCCCAGGGCGTGTCCAGGTGTGGCAGGCTGTGAAGCATGCTCAATTTCGGGGGGCTCTCCTTTTTTCGTTTTTTTTTCTAAAGGCACATAATTGACAATGAAAAATGGCTAGGGCCCCTTCCACAGCCTCAGAAAGTGTAACTGAGGGGTGTAATCCAGGCTTTGCCAGTGCCAGGAAAACCCGGCTCTGGGCTTAGTCCTGTCTGATTCCTAACTAGGGTTCAAGATTGAATGAAAGACGTCCGCCTGGAGCGGGAGTGTGGTTCGTCGCCACTGGACGCGCAGACCTCTTTCAGAAATGAGGGTGCCCCACAGAGGCCTGTGTGTCAGGTGTCTGGGACAGCGGACGTCTTGTTCTGAGTTCTCAGCCTGCCACCAGGGAAGGGGTGTTTGCTGGCACCCTGCCAGCGCATGTCACTTCCTTGCCGCCGCACCGTTCCCAGCCCTGGTTCGCGTACACATTCTCCAGGCACATGTTCACGTCACTGGGCTGTCAAGGGGGCCAGCCGGAGCCTCCGCAGCTAACAAGCATCCTTCACACGCAGCTTCCCGGGGGCGCTGGCTGCTTGGAGCTGTTGCCCCCGATTTATGGCAGCCGTGAGCAGCGGTGGAGCGGGGATCTTACACGCGGGCTCCACTGAGTGACAAGACAAGAGGTTCAGATGTTAACTGTGTCAGTGAAAGGAGCCAATTGTAAAGCCTGTGTGTGTTCTGATTGGTGGGATTGAAGACCGGCTGCTTGTTTCTCCCGCAGGAAGACGCTCCTGGGGCCGGTGTTCGGCTCTCCCATGGAGCAGGTCCAGCTCCTCCCAGTGAGCAAGGCTGTCGAGCTGGAGAAGCGCTACTTGGTGTTCATCAACAGAGACAAGGTACTGTCTTCCGCTCTGTGTGTTTTGAGTGGCAGTCGGTCCCAAGTATTATATCAAGGATGCTTGGGCCCTGGCTGGTGTGGCTCAGTGGGTTGAGCGCCGGCCTGCAAACTAAAGGGTCGCCGGTTTGATTCCCAGTCAGGGCATGTGCTTGGGTTGCAGGCCAGGTTCCCCAGTAGGGGGCGTGTAAGAGGCAACCACACACTGATGTTTCTCTCCCTCCCTTCCCCTCTCTCAAAAAATGAATAAATAAAATCTTTAAAAAATAAATTTTAAAAGAGAAAAAAAAAAGGATGCTCAGTCTCTTGGCCCAGCCCAGCCCCTTCCATCCGGGTTCACAGTGATGTGAAGACCACCGTAGCTAAGTGATGATGACTCTTAGAAGGCATTTCTGAGCAGATGCACGGCCCACCGAAGGGTTTTTAATTCCTGACTTGCGTGGAAACAATAAAGACGTACAAATTAGTTACACTTGGTTGTATGTTTAATGAATGATCAGCACTGGGAAGCATAAAACCGGAGGATGGTAGGGTTATTCTGGGAAACAGTGGGCACCTGACTAGGAAGAAAGGAGACAAGCTTCCCTTCTGTGTCCCTGCTGGAACTTGGTGTCTCTCTCCTAAGGGGGCCTCCTGCGGGGGTCAGTGTGTTCAACCCCCCTCCCCCCCACCACAAAAAACCCAGATCTCACACCCCGGAAGGTTCCGGCTCGCGGGGCCCTCCAGGAGCCGCAGGTGACCGCGCCCTGGACTGAAGCTGACCACACCTTCCCTCCCAGGTGGGGCTTCAGATTTTACCTATTGACGGCAACCCGCATAAGACGTCTGCCATCGTCTGCCACCCAAGCGGCGTGGCTGGACTGGCCCTCTCCTACGACGGGCACCACGTCTTCACAGCAGGAGGACGGGACCGGTCGGTGGCACAGTGGGAGATCAACCTCAGGTGCGTGACGGGGCAAGAGGCGTGGCCCGTGAGGAAGGTGTCGAGGGAAGGGCCCCCCTTTCCACTCAGCAACGGCAGACAGGTGCTGAACCCGGCCACGGGCCCTACGCCGTGCGGGGGCTGCGGGTACAGAGCAGTGACCGGGCCCGGCCTGCAGGCCGCTCCCTGGGACGTCCACTCCTGCGAACGAGGAGACAGAAGCCGTCTCCTCTGACTCGGGGACCGGCAGTGTTTGCGGTCAAGTCGGTGCGATTCCACCTCCTTCCCCCGTGGCCCCTGGAGGCCTCTCTCTCTGGCGTCTGCAAATCCACACCAGCCAGACAGACCTGGCCCAGACCTCCAAGGTGTGTCACAGAAATAGGAAGCGACTATCTGAAGTGTGTGTTTTCAGGCCAGTTGTCTCACCCCCCTGCCCTGAGTGGAGAATCTCCGCTTAGGATGAGTCTGGAGAATTCCACGGTCGGGCACCAGAGAGGGTGCGACATTGAGGTCAGAGGCTCGGGCTCAAATCTGGGCCTGTGGGTTCTCCTGTCTGCCGGCTGTGGGTCCCAGGCAGCTTCCCCAGCGTCTCTGGTTTTGGGGTTCCCCGTCTGTGAAATGGGGGCGACAACAGGGACTTTCCAGGACCCTTGGAATTCTCCGCAGGTTAGCGTCTGGAAAGTGCCCAGCACGGAGCTGAGGCCGCGGTGGACGAACGAGTTCCTTTCTCCCTCCTTGTGAAGCCATTTGCTTCTGAGGTCAGGATCTTTCTTACTAAAACAGGGACAAGCCCAAGGCGATCTGGTCAGCCCCTAAATTCAGGGAACCGGCACAGGGCGGGCGATCCCTGTCCCCGACCACCTGCTTCAAGCCCTGCCCCTGCCTGGCAGGACTTGAAAGGACAGGATCGAGTCGTGGCTCCCAGGAAACGCGTCCCCATGTCCCCATGCCCCCTGCCAGGTGCACGCCTCTCTCACGGCGGACATCGCAGTGTGTCATCTCACCCTGAACGTGAGCCGATGCAGGCAGGCAGGCCTGCTCTGGAGTCGGGGTGCTCTCAGATCGCGCCTCTGCTCGGCCCTTCCTCCCAGAGAGCAGAGCTCAGGGACTGGGGGGTTCAGAAGCTGGAGGTGAGCCCTCCCACGGGCGAGCCGCTTGGTTCCTTGACACCGAGCCTGTTACCCGGGACTGGTAGGAGACCAGAATCTTCCCTTTTCATTTCTGTCCACTTCTCAGTCATCTGGGGATCTGGAATGGTCGAGATGAGGGGGGAGGCGCTTTCCACTGGCTTTCCTGGTCCTGGCCAGAGTCCAGGCTTCTGAGAATTTCAATTTAATCTGCTGCGGGGACAAAGGATCGTTATAAACTAATTAGCACTTCATTGCTGCTTCTGGGGTCTTTATATGTTCAGCGCCTCACTAATGGGAAGGAATGTAAAAACCCTAGAGTAAACAAACAGATTCGCCACTCGATCCAATGGTGAGTTGTGGGGGAAATAAAGATGAGAAATCCTCTCCTGTTCCATCGTTTTAATCAGGGCTCCCCGGGGCCCCATACGCTCCTACGCGCACACACACCCTTCCCCGGGAGGCCCCCTCCCTCTTTCCCCCAGAGCTCCTTCCTCCCACTCTCCCCCTCCGGCCCAGCTTCGCTAGCCTGCTGCCTTTGCCTCTCCGCGTCTGGCATCTGCCTTGGAATTCCTCATCGCTTATTTATGGTCAACCTCACACCCACCTGTAGTCCCGCTGCCCTGCTCAAACAAGAGCGGAAAGACCCAGGTTCAAACCCCACCTTTCCTACCTACTTGCTGCGTGACCTCAGGCAAGTCCCTCAACTTCTCTGAGTCTCAGTTGCTCTGTCTGTTAAATGGGAGTGTTGTCACCCAGTTTGGAGGTGGTGAGTTCTCGAGCTTTACCTCATCTCCCAGAACTGCTGTGTGTATTTCCAGCACGTAGTAGGTCTTCAGTAAAAGTATTTTTCTTTTGAGCCCAAGTGACCTCTTTGCTTTGTTACAAGTATTACAAACCCAGCTTTGGCAGAAAGCAGGACGCTCTGGGAAGGTTGTCGGGGCCTCAGGTGACCGGCCTGCAGAGCCGCAGGGGCACGTGCCCTTGGTGCCCTCAGCGTGTGCTCTGTGCTCAGCTGCGCTGCCGGCTTCATCCGCTGCAGGACTAGTTTTCTCACTTTGCTGAAACACAGACCGTCTCCAAATATCGAAAACTGCTGTCCTCCCCAGAGAGAGGGACAAGCCCCTCTCCCATCCCTCCGGCTCTCTCCTGTCACTCGGCAGTGGCCAGGAAGCAGGGGCTGTAGTGTATCGTTCTGACCACCAGAGGGCTGTTCCCAGAGAATGCAGAGCTGTGACCCTGTGACCCTGTCCCCTTGGGTTCTGCTGGTGTTGACAGGCTCCTCCATGTGACTTCCGGCCTTCGCCTGGCCCTCTTCCAGAACCGCATGGCCAAACGCAGCCTCACCGCCTGTCGAGACTTCCAGACTGGGCTTGAGTCTGGCCTGGGGGCCACGGAGAGGGAACCCCCTCAGTTGGACACCTGCCTCGACGGCTAATATCGGAGCCGAGGGCCGGCCGAAGATTGGCCACCAGGCCCCGGGGCCGGGCTGGAGAAGGGGCCGGCTCCAGACCTTAGAGCAGCCTCCTCCTGCAGGGCTGGGCAGGGCCGGGCAAGAGGACCGGGCGCCACCTGTGGCCACCTCTCAGGAGAGGCGTAGGGGTGCAGCTGCGGCCCATCAGCGGCGGTGACGACTGCAGCCGCCCTGCACCGAGTCGCCTCCGGGCTGGACCCTGCCCAAGCGCTTCCCGCACGCTGTCCGGGCTCACCCTCACAGCCACCCTGTCTCTGACCCCACCGTGCAGGCCTGGAAACCGCTCTACCAAGGGGCTGCAGACGTCCCTGAGCAACGACCGAGTGAGGGGCGGGGCGGGGAGTCTCGCCATTCGCAGATTCAAGCCCACACCCGCGCAAACGGGTTCCTCTAGGGGCAGAAATGAAGGGCTTCGTGCGAACCCCTCTGTCATGTTCACTTACTTAAATCTCCCAGCAGCCCGTGGGGCAGGCCCTGCCGCCCTTCCCACTTTTCCGAGGAGGACACTGAGGCTCGGGGAGGTTAATTCCTTGCCTGTGGCCATGCTGCTTACGAGCAGCAGAGCCAGGGACCCGGAGTCTGGACGCTGAGCCCCTTCCCTGCTGTGGTCCACACCGAGGTGTGTTTTAATCGACCACAAGGAAGCTAATGGCCTGATTAGCAGAAATCCAGTTACTGGATTATTATAATGATTTATATTATTATTAGCGTTTTGTGCGAGGCGAAGTCGGTTTCACACAAAAAGTAGGTTTCCCTACCTACAGGGCCTATTTTGGGAAACCCTGCCCCGTGTTAGAGAGCAGAGGGTTATTTTTATCTGACCGGCATGGGTCCCTTGCGGCCTCCGTGTGTTCATGGACGCAATTAGTGCTGGCAGTTCACCAGCAGCACCCCGGGCCTTCGGCTCCAGCTGCACGCAGCTCCAGAGTGACCGGGGCTCCGGGGCTCCGGCGCCCTCCCTCAGCAGCGACGCGCCCCCCAAAGGCCCCAGACAAACGGCCCTTGGCCTGCCGGGTCACCTGCGAACAGACGTCACCATCATTAAGCGGGTGCCCTGTTCTGCGGGGTGCCGCCCCTGCAGTTGAATTTTTCATCTTCAGCGGCATCTCCGAGGGCACGTTCTTCACCAGTTCCCAGAAACCCTCAAGTCGTGGCTGCGCTGGCACCGCCTTTGGGGGCCCGCAGCTCCCCACGGCCCCCCGGGGGCTGAGGCTGCTGGCGCCCAGGGCTTCCTAACAGCCCTGTTTCTCCTGCCCTTCCAGGGCCCTGGAGGCCGCCGTGTCTCTCGGTGGCGAAGACCTGACCCCGTTCTATAGTCTGGTGGCCGGAGGCAGGGAAGGACAATTCTACAGGGTAATTTCCTTGGAACAAACACTTTGGGGTAACCCCTCACTAAGTGTGCCAAACCCACGTGTCACTTTCTTTGCCCCAAAGCTCTTTTTCCCACTGGGCCCCAAGTGCCCGCTCTAGAAAGTGCCCTTGAAGTCTTCACAGATGCTTCAGACTTGAACCAAACTGCGCATCGTGTCTCTCTCTTATTTCCACGCAGGAGCTGGAGGACTATTTTTACTACTCCCAGCTCCGCAGCCAGAGCATCGACACAATGGAGGCCAGGAAGGTGTCGGAGCACATCCAGCTGGCCGAGGTTCCCTTTGTCATGAGAGCGGTCGGCTTTTACCCGTCGGAAGAGAAGGTAGGCACCGCGAAAACGGGGACGGCCGTGGCGAGGGCCCCGCGTGGAAACGACCTCCAAGGATGATGGGCATAGGTCAGCGAGCGGCTTAACCTTGTTGTCGCGTAAATGGACGAGAAGGAAGGTTGTGGGGTCAGCCGGTGCACCCCTCAGAAACAGACTCCCCGTAAAGACGTTTCTAAAGGGCAGACTCCTCACCAGAGCTGGGCGTGGGTAAGGGCCCGTGGGTTTGGGAGTCAGACTGGCCGCCCCGCGCCGGGTGAGGGGGCAAGGCCGTGATGCCCACGAAGCAGGGGCCACGGGAAGGGCTGAGTGAGTGCTCGCTCTTTGGGTTATTTCTCGTTGCCGCTCACCTGGCCCGTGGGGATGGGGCGCCTCTGGGAGGTGGGTGCTTGTCCTCGTGGGGCTCAGGAGACGTCATCTCCTCATGACCTTGAAAAACACCCCCAGCCGTGGGGCGGGGGGGGCTCCAAATGAGGACCAGCTGTGGTTTTGGATTGGGGGGGGACTTGTGCATGCGTTTCTGTGATATTTAGCTTTTCTTAACTGTAAGTATAGAGCTTGTGTTGCTTGTGCATTCAGAACAAAAGCCAGGAAGACAGACTAGCAAACCCTCCCCAAGCCCTGTGTGCTATCCTTCGGGGCCGAACCGAGGTCCCAGTTGGGGTGCAGGGGCCGCAGCCCAGTGGGGTACAGCCTCCCCCAGGTGAGCAGGAGGCGTCTGAGCCCAGGGTCGGGCACACGGCTGCCAATCCGATGAGGCCCCGTGGGCATCGGAGCTGCACTCTGCCCATCGTATTTGCTCCGAAACGTGAATGTCAGGGGGTGTTTCCGTCCTGAAGGGGAGAGAGCAGACCCCCCCGCCCCGTTCCAGGAGGCCTTCCCAGTCACCCGAGAGTCCCTGCATAGTGACCCCAGATCAGAGGTCCGGGCAAGACAGGCCAGTTTTCTGTTTTTCACACTTAAGGTATTTTTAAAAAACATTTTATTTACTTTATAGAAAGAGGGGAAGGGAGAGAAAGGAATATCAATGTGTGGTTGCCTCTTGCACGCCTCCAACTGGGGAACCTGGCCTGCAACCCAGACATGTGCTCTGACTGGGAATTGAACCTGTGACCTTTTGGTTCGCAGGCTGGTGCCCAGTCCCCTGTGAGCCAGGGCCTGTGCCGGCCCCCCATCAGCGTCTGGTGTTGCTCTTACTGTCTCCGCTTTACATACAGACGGGGAAGGTGGGGCTACGGGAGAGCTGCGGCTCACACGCTCACACCGTCCCTCCACGCCCGAGGGCAGGGCCGGGGTGGGCAGCCCAGCAGGCGGCCTGAGCCCCGTGTCCCCTTTCTGCCCGTGCGTTTGCACCAACAAGCAAGGAAGCCTGCACGTCAGCGCGGCAGGCACCGGCCGCTGCCGAGGGGCGGGGATTTATAAGGCGTTTGTTTCTCCTGGTTCCGTCTCCCCTGCTTGAAGTTTTAAGTAGAAACCATGTCTTAGTCTTTACTGGTTTTACGATGATGAAAGGATAGATCGTAGTGATGGTGGGAAAATATTCTGAAAACACTAATATTTTTGCTTCGCTACTTGCCAGTTCCCTGGCTTCACCTCCATGGCATCTTCCTTTCTCCTTAGAAACTTTGATTGAGATGCGCCAGGCACCTAACCTTCCTTCATGTAAAATGCACAGGTTGGCGGCTTTCAGCTTGTGCGCAGAGCTGCGTAAGCTTCCCCGCCGTCGATCCCAGGGCACTCCCACCCCCTACAAAGAAGGCCCACCCCAGACTGGTGCACGGAGGGGCGGAGACAACAGGCTGTGACAGGTGACTGTCTCCTCACTTGTGGAGCCTGTTCTAGAGGCTCCGTGTGTCGGGAAGTGGGCGCGAGGAGGAGGGATTGTCCTCCCAGCCGCACGTCTGTGGGACCAGTGATATGACCCTGGTCCAGAATGGGGGAGCGTGGGATCTAGACCCTGGGGGTGGGGTAGCCAGAGGGAACCCTGAAAAGTCCTTGGCACAGGGCAGGGGCCCCCTGTCGCCTGGATGTCCTGCCGTCACTGCCAGAGGACACCTTTCCGTGAAGGGGACACTGTGTTCTCAGCTCTACCCAAATCTAACCATCTGGAAATGCAGGCTTCCCACCACCAGGCCCCCTGACTTTTTAAGAGAAACTGGAAGCACGGACAGCTGCCTGGAGTCTGGTGAGATCTGGTCGTTAAAGTGGGAACCAGACAAGCAAGTCTGCCAGCTAAGCCCTGGAAGCACCGTTGGTGCCTTCTGCCCACTGAGCGCACTGGTCAGAGCCTTGGACGGCGGGGCCGAGCCCACCCGCCAGCCCTCCTGCTGAGGGCTTCTCAGCCCGGGAGGAAGGTGGGGCAGGCAGAACAGAGGTCCCGAAAGAGGTCCATGTCCTAATGCCTGGAACCCTTGAATACGTCACCTTACATGGCAGAGGGACTTTTGGTGAGTGCAATTAAGGGTCCTGAGAGGGGGACAGGACCCTGGATCAGTCTGCGGACCCCATATCATCACAACGGTCTTTGCAAGAGGCGAGCAACAGGGCCAGGGCCAGAGGAGACAGGACGAGGCAAGAAGAGGCCAGATGCTGCGTTGCAGGTAGGAGGGACCACGGGCCACCCCTTGAGGCCTGGCTCTGGAAGCCTGGACAGGAGAGGAAGCGATTCTCTACGACGGCTTCCAGAAGGAGTGCAGCCCTTACCGACACCTTGATCTTAACCCTTAAGACCCCTCTCGGGCTTCTGACGGTGCAAACTGTGAGGTCAGTTGGTGCACTTTGCACCACGAAGTGTGTAGCCATTTGTTACGGCAGCGATGGGACATGCGGAAGGCGCTTTGGGGGTGTGTCACAGGCGCCCCGGCCTCGCACCCCACTCCTCACACTTATTTCCCAGCCTGGAGTGTACTCCCTCTTTCCTGTTGACTACATCCTTCCAGGCCCGCCTCCTGCAGGAAGCCTCCACCAGCCCCTGGTGCTGCTCTCCGGCCTTAGAGCCCTGGCATCAGGCCCTGTTACAATCACTGGAGGACTCCTAAAAAAACAGAAAACTACCAGTGCCTGAGCTCCACCCCTGCCAATCAAACCTAGGGGTGGAGCCTGGGCAGGGGTCATTTTTTTTAAAGTTCTGGTACTTCTGGGGCTACTTCTCAAGGGCCCCAGGGCTGCTTTCTGGTGGTGTTCCCTGTGTCCCTTGCCAGTGCCCAGCACACAGTGGGTGTTCAGGAACACTTGCCGACGGGCTTCAGTGTGCGCGCCGTTCTGGGGGCGAGCACGGCCAGGCCCCGTGGGGCTCCTTTGTTATCTTTGAGCCAGTCTGCTATTTCTGGATGGAGCCAAATAGGGATTGCATTTATAATGTACACATAATCATTTAGAGGATAATTTATGCATTATAAAGTATAATTTATATTATATTATAATTACTTGTAATTGGCAAGGGCAAAGGAAGTATGACCGTACCAACGGTTACTGCCTGTGGAGGCTTAGTATGTGTTAGGCATTGTGTTTAGCACATCACAGCCGTTGTCACAATTCTCTTCAAAATAATAGTCCAGTGCAGCCCTGGCTGGTGTGGCCCAGTGGACTGAGTGCTGGCCTATGAACCAAAAAGTCACCGGTTTGATTCCCAGTCAGGGCACATGCCTGGGTTGCGGGCCAGGTCCCCAGCAGGGGGCGTGTGAGAGGCAACCACACACTGATGTTTCTCTCCCTCTCTTTCTCCCTCCCTTCCCCTCTGCCTAAAAAGTAAATAAAGTCTTTTAAAAAATAGTCCAATGCGTATGTTTTACCTTTTTCAAGCTGAGGACACTGAGGACAAGGGACGTTAAGTCACTCATCCAAAGTCACGTCAGACAGTAGCAGACCCCGGGTCGGAAGCCAGGTCTGTCGTCAAAGACCCTACTTTTAACTCCACTCTCCACTGGCTCTCAGGGAGCAGCGAGTAGCCCGTGTCTATAATAACTCTATTAAAATTACACAGCACAATATGTAAAGAATCCCCTCCTGGATAGTGTTTTATTTATAGATAAAACTATATGTAATTTAACATGCAATTGTAGACAATATAAACTCCATAAATGCTATATATAAAACAGTGTTACCATCTAAAGCTGCTTTTACACTATCAACTATAGTTCATGTGTATTCTAACCAGTGACGTTATTTCAAAAGACCGTTCCCGGAATGTCGAATTCAGAATACGTGGCTTCTTTGAAAATACTGGGTGATGACTAAGACACGGTGTTAAAAGAAACTAAAGGGATACAAAAGTATGTGTGTGTGTGTGTGTGTGTGTGTGTGTGTATGATACACATTTTGCAAAAAAATAAACAAGTATCTTATATGCATGGGAAAAAATGGAAAGTAAATGCCCCACGTTTTTCACTTGTGATTGCATTGTAAGAGGTTTTAATTTTTTTACTTGCTCCCTGGGGCCAGCCCAGACCCCGGGAGCGTCCCGGGAGGACCGATGCTGGGCGAGGCTTCACACCGGTGCTCCTCCAACTTCTGCTCTGCATTTATGGGGTGGCCAGGGAGAAACTGGCAATAAATAATGGATCAATTTTGTGCACAAATAGAGATTCACTTCCTAATTCATCCCATAGGCCAAAGTAGAGTTCGTGTGCTAGGGGGGACATCATCTCCCGCTTTTCTGTGGCTCTCATCCCCTCTCTCTCTCTAAATTTCCGACACCCACAAATTATCGGGGGACATATTAGTTAAAAATGTAGGCACTAAGGTAAATTCCTCATTCCTAGCCCTGGGTAGCTGAGGTTTGCGGATTTCAGCTGAGCGCAGCACGCACGGTGCAGAAATACAGCACAGGCCAACAGCAGCGAGGAGCGGTGCCGTTTGGTTTGTTCTTGTAAATCCTTCTCTTTCTTGCGTTCTGCCCGTCCCATAAAGAGCGCCGCGTGGGAACCTGCGCTGACCAGCACCGCGTTCCCGTCGGAATCCACGGGCTTGGCAGCACCCTTCGCTCGGTTCTGGAAAATTTGGAAAATATGCAAAAGAACGACTTCCCACATCAGGAAGTGGCCCTGGAGGAATGGAGTGGGCCGTGTTCCTTTTCCTTGTTTCTGGGAGAGACTGTGAAGAACTGGTGTTCCTCTTAAAATTCTTGGTAGACTCCACCAGCGGAAGCCTCGGAATTACTAATTCAATCTCTCTATTGGTTATAGGTCTGTTCAGGTTCATTGTTTCTTCCTGGGTCAGTTTTGGGCACGAACACCTTTCTGGACATGTGTCCATTTTGTCTGAGTTATTTGACTTGGTGGCGCACTCCCTTTTATTTCTGTAAGGTGGGTCTGGTAAGGTCTCCCCTCTTTCATTCCTGACTTTAGTAATTTAGTCTTTCTCTCTTTTTTTTTTCCCCTTGGTGAGTCTGGCTAGAGATTTGTGAGTTTTTGTTCATCTTTTCCACGAACGGCAGCTTCTTAGTTGTTCATTTTAAAAATTGTACCACATAAGCTGTACATGCCTTGCGTATACTCTCTTATCTTTATAAAACGCTGCGGAACCAAAGTGAAAAGGAAAGAAAGGAAAAAGGAACTGTGGTGCAGTTAATTGTCCTGAGAAACTTGCTAGAGCCGCAGGTCCTACAGTGGCCTCCCACAGTAAATGCTTAGCTCATTCATGTAAAGTAATTGCTGGCTTCTTGGGGATTCTGTCTTTTCTATAAAACGAATGTCGGCCTCAGGAAGCAAGGTGGTGGCTGATACAATGTGTGACCCTTCCGTGAAAAGCGATAAAATGAAACAGTGTTCGTGCTGTGCTCACACCACTGACAAGCTGGGCCCGGCCTCCGGGCTGCAGTGAAAAGCCCCTCAAACTGGGCGGCCTGATGCAGAGGAAGCTTCCCCCGTCACCCAGGTCTGGAGTCAAGGGGCCCGTGGGCCGCACGCTGGGTGAAATCGCAGGGGAGACCCTTGCTGGCCTCTCCTAGCTTCTGGCGGCCACCAGCAGTCGGTCCCCGGGCATCGCGTCCCTGAAACTGGCGCTCCACTCCCTGTTCCCTGTCACCCCAGGACCATTTTCTCCCCGTGTGTCTGTCTCCTCCTCTTATAAAGACACCAGTTACGGTGGATGGAAGGCCCACCCTGCTCCGGTGTGATCTCATCCTAACGACCCCTGCGGCGACCCTGTTTCTAAACAACCTCAGGAACGGGGGGGGGGGGGGGCTGTGAGTTCCGAGTTTCATCCTGGGGGGGGGGGGGGGGACGGGCATCCCGTGTCCTGAGCGAACCGTGGGCATCCATCTGTCACTGTCCGATTCGTAGAAGCACATCCAAAGCTCCTATTTATCACGGTTTTTCTTTCCCCCTTTTTAAAAACCTCTTCCCTAGATTGAAGACATGTTTAATGAAATCAAATTCAGCGAGTACGTGGACTCTGGAAGGATGACCGACAAAATCGACTTACCAAACTTCCTCAAGATTTACCTGAATCACCGGCCACCCTTCGGCAACACCATGGACGCCATCCAGAGGAGCTTCGACATCCTGGGTCGCCCCAACTCCCAAGGGCAGAAAGTTATTCAAAGAGAGGACTTCCTGAAACTGCTTCTAACGAAAGGTGTGTGCACACATGGGGGTGTCTTGTTACCGGACAGAGGTGAGCTGGGGGGCACGCCCCTGGAGTCTTTGATTTGACAGGACTTCGGCCTGAGGGACACACTCGGTGACCCGCACAGCTGGCAGAGCGGGGCCAGTGGGAAGGAGGCCGGCCGGGGACCTGCCGTTTCTGTTTGCAGCTCCTGAGGCCTGTGGACTCAGCGTCCTCACTTGTCCAAGATGAGATTGGGCTGGGACATGCCACCCCACCTAAGTGGCATGTTGCCTCATCCCCTGCTGTCATCCTCAGTATTTTATGTGAGGCCATCAAGTCGGCTCTCCCTGTGGGTGACCGTCTTGTCGTGGGCAGACGGGGGAGCCGGTGTGAGAGTGTGAAGGAATGCCGAGGGCCGTGGCCTGGATCAGAATTCTGGCCGATTTCTCCCTCCCCCCCCTCCAGGGTGCATCCCAGGGGCGGTCCCGCGTTTAATGCCACGTAGGGAAGCGTTTGTGACGGTGACGCGGGACTTCCTCTCTCGATTGCTCTTGTGTCTTGGGGAAAGGACAGCGAGGAATTGTTCTCTCTCGGACCCACAAGGGTGCCGCTGGGCTCGGTGGCGTGCTCCCTCCGAGAGCTGACCGCCGCCTTTTCCCTTCGTGGTCCGCAGGCGAGCACATGACAGAGCAGGAGATGTCCGACTGCTTCTCGACGCTGCTGGGCCTGCAGCCCGAGGGCTGGAACTCGGAGCCGGGGGCCTCCAGCAGAGGTACGGGGTGGGGGGCGGCATTGTCAGGGGGCAGCTCTCTCACCGGCTGTCGGACGCGTTGATTTCTGCTGCAGCAGGAAAGGACTTGTCGGGAGGGGCCTGAGAAGGGGAGGCGGCCCCAGGCCGCCCTCTGGCTGCCGGTCTTCCCCGTTTTTCACGCTCACTTGTCTCTCCTTTCCTGAGGACCCCACACCTCCCGCTGGTCCCCTGGAGGGAGGAAGTGGCCCTGAAGTTTGGGTGGCAATGTGAGCTCGGGAGGAGGCAGTGCAGACCCGTCCCCGGGCTGGCCCCTGTACAAAGGTATCCGGTGACAAGCCTGCGATGCCTGGCCGACGGCCCCGAGGTGGTCAGGGCCGGCATGGCCACTGCGGCTGCGGTCAGGAGCCAAGACTGCTCGCCGGGCCGCCCTCTCTGGGCATCGCCTGTCCCCAGTGTCCAGCGTCACAGAGCTCCTCGGCCCAGTCTGGACTCTGGTGTCCGACTGCATCGCCCTGACCTGTGCACCAGGCCCCACCCACCTCTTGTTTACTGCGGGGTCTCGGAATGGAACTTCCCCGGCTGTTCCTGTTCCTAAGTGTCTCTGAACTAAGAGCCCACCATGCCACGCCCTCAGGTTTTCCACGGGGGCTCGCAGAGACCCAGGGGGCACGGGGTCGGACTGCTAAGGGAGGGGTTTTCACCGGTTTCCACATGGCGGGTTCCAAGGAGTGGGAGTCAAACCGCGGCCCAAAGCCCCTCTCGCCTATTAGTATCATTGCCTTGTATTTTTGAAAAACACCGCTGGGTGGGAAACCTAGCGATTGTGAAGACATTTGTTTTCTTGTTTGGCCAGGTTCAGAAATACCCTTCGAAGAAGAACTTCCAGATGAAATCACTGCGGAAATATTCGCGACTGAAATTCTGGGCTTTACCGTGTCACCCGACTTCAGACAAGATCCCACGACAGTCAGTGAAGCTGCCAGGAATGTCTGAGGCACAAAGGACTTTGTGTGTGGCGTTTCCCCGCCCTCCCCCACCAGGCAGTACTTTCCCTCCCCCACTCTGATATCTAGAACACTTAGGCATTAAAAGCAGTGGAATTCACAAAGTTGGACGTTCTGCTGTTTGCAAAACAGACAAGCAAAGCAAGGGCAGGCCGCCTGGAGGGGGTTTGAATGGGACGCAGAGGTGGTGTGGTCCCTGGGGGCAGGGAGGGCCTTGGCCAGCTGCAGGCCCTCTTAGTGACACTGTGACCTTGTTCCCCTCCCCTCGGGTGAACCCCTGGCCCCTTGGTCTAATGTGGCCTTGTGTGGACTGGATCGCCCCCACCTGCTCTTAGGCTGGGACCAGGGGACTGGGGTCTCTGGGCCCCTGAGAGTCTCTTGCTTACGGCTTCCAATCAGCAAAACACCCGAGCAGTTGTGTGTGGCCGTTATGAGGAGCATCACCGGTCATGCTTAACCCGAGCGGCAGCTGTGGGAGAGAACACACAGAGCGCCCAGGGCCCCGTGCCCTGCACCTGGACCAGAAACCACAAGGCCCGCCCCCGGCAGAGCCCCCGGCAGAGCTCCCCAGAGTCCCCGAGCTTCCCAGCCCCCGCCCGCCTGCCCCCAGCAGACACAACGGGCTGGATCCTCTGCCTCACACGCCACTGGGCTTCAGAACGCTCCCCAGTAGGCAAAAACAGGGCCAGCCCCCCAGCTCCGGGGTCGTCCAGGGAACCTCACTCAGTTTTCAGCGCTGTTTTAACCTTAAAAATAAAGTCCAGTCATCACGTCTACGAGTGAAAGTCACGGTCCGATGTTAGCGTTTTGTCCTCAGTTGCGAGGTCTCCTCACTCAGGCGAATGTTCTGCTCCGCACCCACTCAGGGCAGCACCTCCCCCCCACACACACACACACACACAGGTCCTGCCCCAGGAACCAGCCTTTCAGGAACGTTTCTGGTCCCCGCCAAGGTGTGCTGTGCTCAGGAGCCAGGCGGGTGTGAGAGAGAGGACAGCGGTGGCCTCATCGGTGCACAGGGTCCCCACCCCCTCCCCTCCACCGCCGCCCTGCCAGCACAGGGGGGATTTGGAGCACTCCGCCTGTGGGACGCGACCGGTGACCCTGAGCCAGACTGTGTCACTGCGACCTCGGGACAGACGGTGTTGGGCCCAGCCCCTGCAGGCACCGCCGATCCCATTGTGTCACCAGAGCTGGTTACATTTTGTTCTTTAAAAAAAAACAAACACCAGCCCTGGCTGGTATAGCTCAGTGGACTGAGCGCAAGCCTGCGAACCAGACAGTTGCGGTTCGATTCCCAGTCAGGGCACATGCCTGGGTTGCAGGCCAGTTCCCAGCAGGGGACGCGTGAGAGGCAACCATACGTTGATGTTTCTCCTCCTCTCCTTCCCTTCCCCTCTAAAGATAAATAAATAAAAATCTTTAAAAAAAAAAAACACCAAAAGGAAAACAAGCTCTCTGAATCAATTCTGCAGCTGCTGAGGGCTCCGGAGACGTATTTCCAAACCAGTTAAAAAGTTCCTGGGGGCATTTTAGGAGACAGGAAACCCTCAAATGACTTGTTCTCTTAAAAAAAAACAAAACAAACCCTCAGAGTTGGATGCAGTCTGAACAGCGACCAGCAGCTTCTCTCGTTGCATCTGGCACACTTTGATTCATGCCTGCTGACCACGTATATTAGAATAACTGTCCGTGGCAGAGCTGCCCACGGTGGCCGGACCCTGTCAGACCAGACCCAGGTGGAGACGCAGCCTCTGCGCCGAGCCGGCTCCCTGAAGCTCCGAGTCAGCGTGAGGTCCTGGTTATGCCCTTCGTCCTGGGAGACCACAACAGCAGGGGCGGCAACATCTGCGTCCACCACTTCCCAGTCTGGCCCGTGGGGCCCCTTCCCACAGGTGCTTTTGTTCCAGTGTCTCTGGTTGACTTTGACCGAGAGCTGCTCTGTGACCCTTTCAGCCCCAGGATGGCGCCTCCGCCTCCCTTCCGGGCAGGCCCAGCCTGCTGGCCACACAGGTCGTGGGGAAGGAAGGACAGACGCCCCTCCGAGGGTGGCCTTCCTCCCAAGTGAGCAGAGGGTCCAGGCTGGGTCTCCAGCAGAGCAGCGACGCCAGAAAGGGAGGCAGGAGAGACGGGGTCGTGGGGTTCATGCGTCACACCTTAGGGACGCACACTGGCCACCAAATAGCTCATGGCAATGACCCTGTGAAAAAAGAGCACTATTTCAGATGGGGTCTCTGGCTGCCAGCCAGCCCATCCCGGTTGGTTGCTTGTGGGCTTCAGGGGCCTGTCCCATAGCAGCCAGGACCACCAAGAGCCTCCTCCATCCCCCGTTCTCCACTCCAGACCCCTGTGCCCCTCCCACGGGTGCTTCAGCTCTGCACGCCCACTGGCCGGGCCAGGCTGCTTTGCTGCTTCTTCTCTTTAATGGCTGCTGGGTGCCCTTGGGGTGGCCACTCTCTCAAACCACAGTTTCCTCCTGGAACGACTCCTGGGGTGGCTGTGAGGATTAAAGGAGACCACGCGAGTGAAGAGTTAGTTACTGGCAGGAGGCAGAGCTCAAAATAGGACAGCAGCTGTTATTGCTACAGGCAGACGCCGCGCCCGGGACCCGGGAAGATGTTTGACGGGAGCGAACTTCTGCTCACGCCGCGGTGTTAGTGCCAGTCCGCACTCCCGGCCGGTTGTGACAATGGGCCCTCGATAAATATTTGTGGGGGTGATTGAATGAATGAACTTGAAGCTTCAGTGCCCTTTTTGTAGCTGATTTAGCTGTCGCATGCAAGGGCATGGCAGTCTGCACTGGCTGTCCGTCGGGAGTGGCGCACTCTCCCCTC